TGTGCAAAAGCAAAACTTGCACATGATTGCCATCTCTTACTTAGAACAGGGATTTTCTTAGCACAGTTAAAGAGGAACTTGATATAATATATTCTTGTGTTATACTTACAGGTTTAGACTACTTGCAAAGTAAAAGACTTGAGTTACATATAAATTCAGTCTTTGAGAGAATAATGCATTAGAGTCAACTGAGATTACTCTCTGTTTCTCCCTAACTTTTTTCCCAGGATGCTACATGCCTTTAGGCCTTTCTTTGTCCCTAGCTCTGGTTTCTTTGATAGCCAGAACTGTGGCTTGTGGTGAACATGCTTGTGTTTAGCACTCTTTGCGCAGGGTATTGCAGGAAGATGCTGCCCAATAGTTTCCAAAGCACAATACCTGTCCATTCATCAAAGCTCTTGCTGTGTTCTGTAACTTGATTCATGCTAACATAGTGTTCATTTTTTCAGGTGTAACACATTCTTCAAAATAAATAAATATTGAAGCATTACAACTTTCCAATATCAATAATGGTCGTTCCCTAAAAAGAAAAGTAGTAGATGATATGCTTCTAGAGAGGATGATTATAATAAACAGGATATCCACAGCATTTTGGCCTAACCATAAATCAACTATGCTTCTCTGTTCTAAATATCCCCCCTTTTAAAGACACTTTCTGAAAATTTCAAGTTTTCTTTTATCAGAAACTAGATAACAAAGAACAGCGAATCTTGGCACTTTGAAGAGAAGGTATAGCTGCACATCCCTTTATGTGACTGAAGAATGGAAAAGATAGAGCAATACCCAAGAGCACCCGAGCATGTGGCAGCCCTACCAATGCAGTCTGGTGGTACTCATTCAGCCTCTGGCTTTGCTGGAGATAACTGATGGGTTTCACTTCCCTGACAGTTGATATATGAGGTCCTAGTGAGCTTTGAGGAAGTATAAATTGCTTTCCTGATGCACAACAGTGTTATTGCAGGTGTACCTGAACAATTGTTTTCTGGAAAGAGTACCAATACTTTAATGTCACTTACACTTCTCTCTCCTTCAGGGATCAGAAACTGATGTAAATGTTGTCATTCATTTGAGGATGAGTTTCCTGATCTACCTCTTGGTAGTCCTCATTGACCAGTAGTTGGCTAGTTTATCTCCGGGTTTGTGGATTTAACTACAACCTGACTTGGTCTTATAATACTGGGAATTACTTCTGGTTGCTAGGTTCTCAGATCTGCAGGGACAAGTTGGTAGAATTTGTTTCTGGGAAGTTTATTTTCAGAGCAGCATCAGGATCCTCCTTTCTAACTTCACCCTTCTTGGCCATGTGTAGTGCCTCAATATGTTCCTCCCACTGAGGGGAGAGACAGGCATGAGTTGACTTGATAATAGCCCCTGAAAAGAATTGAAATGGCATAGAGGACAGGAATGCCTACCATCACACTGTCCCAGACCAGAGCTGCCCAATTCTCCCAGCCATGCTCCTGCTTCTCTGCTTTTTGGAATGAGTGAGTCTGAAAGCAGAGAATGTCCTGCTGCCATGGCGGATATGTAAACCATCAGTGTCAAAAAGCTTATAATGTGGGCAACAGAATGATGAATGAATAACACCCTGACTCTGGCATCTTGGGAGTGCATCTGAGACACCATGAATACCCACTCCAATTGGTGCAAGCCCATTGTTCTGTGTAAGATATTATCAGTACCCTGGCCTCTCCCTACTAGATGCCTGTAGCTCCTATCCCCTTCCCCAGTCATGATCAGCAAAAATATCTGTAGCCATTGCCAGATGTCCCAGTGGAGAAGACGGTGAGGTGTTGAAATTGCCCCCATAGAGAATCTCTGGTCTAAGCAATCAGATCCGTATGAGCTTGTAAGGACTCCTTTCCACATCACCACAGCTGCTCCATGCTCATAGGATTGGAAGTTGGGCCTCTTCCCTGCGCTGCTTCCTCTACTGTCTCCTACAGCTCAGGAAGGCAACAGCAGCTTGAGCTTGGAAATCCTCCTCTGGGTTGCCTCACATTGCATATGCCAAGGCCCTTCTGTTTCTCTGCAGCTTCTGGCCTACCTCCCCCAGCCTTGCTGGATGTGAGAGGTTGATATTGTGCCTTCCTAAGAAGGGTGGAAGGACCCTGGGAGCCTCATCCTCAACTGGGCCACAGGATAGATTTTCCCTTCTCTCTCCCTCCTCCTGCTTTAGAAGTGTTTGTCATTCACCAAGCCTTCTGTGAGAGGGCAGCTAGCTGGCCAGGCTTTGTGAGTCTCTGCTGACTGAGTTTCCTGCCTCTGGTGTGTCATAAGGGTGTTGATCTGGTCCTGTTCCTGGGCAGATTCTTCATGCCTTTTCCAGTGCGGTGGTGTGAACCCGAGGAGCCGAGACCGAGACCCTGTGGTTTTTCTAGCATTCTCTTGCTTCTCAACCTGCGAGGAGAAGGAAGGGAAGGACGGGAATGCAGTGCTAGCTCTGTTTCTTTCATGTTCTTAGTTTCTTTTCCTCATTGTCTTTCCTCTCTTCTTCCTAGAGTTTCTGGGTCCTCCTTGCACAGATCCTGGTCTGTTTAGTTTCAGCTCAGTCTCTGCTCCTACCCTTGACCCCTCTGTTTGCTTCTTCATGGGGGCAGGGTTGGGATTGGGTGATATGGGGCTGAATGCTGAGGGAGTGTGTTTACTGGAGTCTGAAGCAAATCCTTGGAATTCTCTTATAAGAACCTGAAAAAAGCCAGGAATGCTACTTTAACGTGAGATTCACTCAAAGGAGTGACAGTTGGCTGAGGAACACATTTTGTACTTGTTTATTTAGAAATGCTGTAATACAAACGGGTTTTCATTTTGATCTTGCTCCTTTAATAGGCTGGGTGCGGCAGTGACTTTGAGCCCCAAACCCTTCATTAACAGCCTCAGATACCCATCAAGGGTTTTATTAAAGACATTTTCCAACCTAGTGTAGTACATAATGGATATTACAATTAAAATAAGAAATTAGTTGGCCCTAAATGCATCTGAATGGGGAGTTACTTGCCTCCTGGGTGGAGACCATCTGTGAAATGTCCCTAGCAAAGGCTTAGGAAATCTTTGTTTTCATTCTACTCTGGACCTGTTCTTTCAAAGCAGCCAATCTAAACCCCCCAAAAATGCAGCTCCCCATGTCACTGAGGTGGTAAAGTTACCATCTCTCATGATTGTGCAGTTAATAATGAACATGCCTTCTCATGAACAGTTCTGTCATGCTGCAACTGGGGCAGCTCCTTTCCTGGGCTGCAGTGAGCCCCTTCTGCCTTTTTCTCACTCTCCCCATTTTGCCTATCTTGATCCTTTGTTTCTGATTGGCCTTTGTCTCTGGGGAAAGGCCCCCTTTCCATCTAGAGGGACTGAACCTTTAGGGGAGAAGCTGGAACAACAGAAGCTGTGGCCTGCTGTCTTGGCAGGCGCCCCACTCGCTTCCTCTGGCTTGCCTGCTACGTTGACATTAGTAAATGTTCATCCACTGTTGTCTCTGCCTCACTGCCTCTCTCAGGTGGTGTTGCTGGAGCCCTCAGCAAAGCTTTCAGGCAGACCTTAAATACCAGACTATTTGCTGACCCTGTGACCAGCCTGGCAACCCAGTCCCCTCAGGCCCCTGGGCATATGCCCATCTAGTGAGAGTAGCTTTTTAGTTGTCACCCAATAATTTTGAAATGCATAGGAATTGTTGAGTTTTCCATTCCTTTTGTAGAGTCATGCGTAAACATCTCTGTGTTTGGGTTCGCCCTAGGAGGAAAGCAGGATTTGGATTCAGGTGGAATTAGAAATAATAGCTACTCTAGGGGCAGGAAAGTAGAATAGTTCTGTAGCAAACAGTCAGGGAGGATGAATGGGTAAGTCTAGGAACACCCTCTGTGGATGTCTGTTGAAGTTCTTCAGCTGCCTCACTTAGAAAATTCTACAGAGGCAAGGAGTTTGGAAACCTATTTGTATGGGTTGTAAAGGTTCAGTTCTGGGCTTAAGTGTCTATAGTTTTTTATGTTTAATTTTGTTGTTTTGTTTTTCAATACTAGGGATTGAACTCAGGGGCACTCGACCGCTGAGCCATATACTCAGCCCTATTTTGTATTTTATTTAGAGACAGGGTCCCACTGAGTTGCTTAGTGCCTCAATTTTGCTGAGGCTGGCTTTGAACCCACAATCCTCCTGCCTCAGCCTCCCAAGCCACTGGGATTATAGGCATGTGCCACTGCTCCTGGCTGTTTTATGGTTCAAACTGAAGAAAACTGGCATCACCAATACTTGAAAAAGTTAATGTTGTTCCTTTCCTAAATAACTTGCACACACAATTACGATACTTTTCAATAGATGGTTGAAGTTGGAAGTTGGAACCCACTAGTTTGTAGAAGAGGACACTTGAGCCACCAAGATCTCACTGCTCCTTTCTTGAGGCCCTGGGCTCAGTCTCTGTTCTCCTCATGCTTGGCTGGATCTCTTTGTACTCCTTTTTGTTGCCTGCCCCTTTCTCTCTTGTCCACAGAGCATGTGACTGAACTTGTGAAAGAAAGAACCATTGCCAATCAAGGTCATGAGTAAACTTATCTTGTCAGGTGTTGCCTAAGCCTTTGTACACAAGGAAGCAGTTTTTTGCTGTTCCTGAGCTTCTATCCCACATTCTTTCACATGTTATGTGTTTCCCTATACTTACTGGGGGAATAGTAGCTTAACGTGTCACTAGAAACTCTACCAGTCAAATATTACAGTATGGGCAGAACTTCAAATACACCCCCCCACACCCTTCATCATCTACTACATCCCGATGCCTTTTGAGCAGGGATGGGAGGAAAGGAAGTAAAAGATATTCTGCTGACAACATGCCTAGAGGCTCACGTGTTCAAGGATTGTCCCGTTTTGTATTCTCAGAGTAATGACTGCAGTTAAGACAGAGGTTCTGTTGGAATTTGGTTTGGTTGACACTACTTTGGCTGGGCTTTGTGGCCCTGCTGGCGTGTACCTGCTGGTGCTGGTGCTGTGGTTGATGGTGAGCTGTCCTCTTGCAGATGAGCGTGAAGCCGTGCAAAAGAAGACCTTCACCAAGTGGGTCAACTCTCACCTTGCCCGAGTGTCCTGCCGGATCACAGACCTGTACACTGACCTTCGAGATGGACGGATGCTCATCAAGTTGCTGGAGGTCCTCTCTGGAGAGAGACTGGTAAGTGGAAATGGTAGTGTCTTGCACCATAGATAGGAAAATATTATTGAAAACTCAAGTGTGAGCTTGTCTACTGTTGAATTCTACAACTAATGATATTTTTGTGAAGGAGAATTTTGTGTGTGAGGCAAATGCTTTGGGGAAAGCCCCAGTTTCACATTCTGAGTCTGGGTGACATTCCTGAACTACAATAAAGCAGCCTCATTCTGGTAATTTGTGAGTTGCTACCTTTGGTCAGAAAGATCCTGGCTGGTGTCCCTGTTAAACAAGGCACAGTGCTGGAAATTGAAGAGCCAGACTTGAATGTTGGCTTGAGGATGAATCTGCATCCTACATGAGATCATGGAATAATTTCTAAATTTGTATCTTATTGATTCTCTGGAAAATTGAGCTTTCATTTCAAGGTGGCAAGAATTGAATTCAGTGGCTTCTGATGTTTGTTTTCTTCCCTGTACCCTTTTTATTCTGGGGGTAGAGGAAAAGCTGGTATTTTGTCTCTTTGGGAACAGAGTATCTGATGAATTCACCCTCCATTTAGGGCAGGGAAGTTACCAGCCTGCAGTAAAAACTGTCCCCATTCTGTTTCCCAGAGTGGCTGCAGCCCTTGCTGATGTGACTTTTATTTATACACCTTAAACCAGAGAAACTTAATCCAGTCTCTGTGACTGACCCGACAGGTTTTGTCTCGCCTTAGTTTGAAAATAGATGCCATATTTTATACCAGAGCACATGTAGTTCCATAGGTAGTGGTGCCGCTGAGCCAAGACCTGACGCCCAGGGATAGGGCCCCACATCTGCACTGACATCACCAGGAAAATATGATGCTGGTGGTTGGCAGGGCTGCCAGAAAACCTTATTTTTAACTTGATCTCCACCCCATAACTTGACATCTATAGCAGGTCTTTCTGTAGACAGACCTGTGCACCTCTGACCACAGGCAAGGGGCCATGATTGTACCTTGCCCTATTATTAGCCCACTGACAGAATTGTGTTTGAGCTGGAGTAAAAATGGAGCCAACGTTTTCTCTCACTGCCTCTCTGTTCAAAAACAGGGACTTTACAAGATAGTGAAGTCCCATCTCGTCTAAACTGAGTTCTGTCCCTGCTGTTTGTTATCTGAACATGTAAATGCTACTGCCTCAATTTCTTTGAGGCTATAGGTCAAACTAGACAAGTAAAGAAACCCCCCACTCAAAACCATGATGATTACAAAAGAAGGTGGTTTGTGATGTGGGCGTCAGGCCCGCAGGGGGAGGGCAGACAGGCCAGTCATTTATTGCATTTTGATTTGTTTTCTTGAAGTGAAACTTGTTTGAGAGCCTAGGCTAAAATTACCATGATTTGTGGCTTACAAAAACACAATTTTTTTAACCAGACTTTTTTCCCCGCCTCTCAACTTTTTTTTCTTTTATTTTTGCCTATTAATGTTTAACCTAACAAAACTGTTTACTCGTTTTTATTTTTTAAAATATTTTATTTTTTTAGTTGTAATTGGACACAATATCTTTATTTATTTATTTTTATGTGGTGCTGAGGATCGAACCCAGGGTCTTGCACTCGTGAGGCGAGCGCTCTCCCACTGAGTCATAACCCCAACCCTTATTATTATTTTTTTAATGTTTTAAAAGTAGCTAAAAACTTTTTAAAGAGCTAGGGTTGTGGCTCCATGGTAGAGTGCTTGCCCATGTGCATGGGATACTGGGTTTGAACTTCAGCTCCACATAAATAAATGTAAAATAAGGGTATTGTGCCTATCTACAACTAAAAAAAAAAAAAAAAAAAAAAAAACAACTCACTAAAGATTACAAGGATAGGAATCAGTTTGGTTGTTTATTTTTGTTGCCAATATGTTCACATCTTGTAGGTAAGGAGTAAATTGTTCACCTTTGAAGGCCTGTAATTTTTTTATACCAAGAAGATTGTGTCCTTGATAAAGTCCATAACATAAACGGGATCAGGCCCATTGCCTTATATCTTGAACAGAGCAACAAAAATATTAGTAGAAAGGGAAAAACCAACCAGTGAACCATAATTCTTAGTTATGTGTGAATACCTTGTACTCCTCTTCTTTTGCCATTAGAAATAAATTTGTAGACAGAGACCTAGGAGACTAGGGATCATGACTTGGAGATAGTCACCATTTCCACCCATTTCCACCCTCTTAGGCAGACAGTGTCAGAATTTTTAGCAGTGACAGCACTTTGTAAAATTCTCAGTGCCTTAATTCATTTCTTATACTTAATCCACTTCTTATCCTCATAGCTAACCAGGACTACAGGTTGAGCAGTTATTCATATTCCAAAAGTGAGGATACCATAGAGTGAAATAATACTCTAATTCATTTGGACTGGAGATTTTCAGACTCTTTGGCCTCAGGGTATTTAGTTTTTGGAACTTTCTGGAACAGACGCAAACCGGACTCTGCCATTGGCTGTTGAGGCCAGTAGGCGTCAAATTAGGGACCCTCCCAGCAGGGAAGAAAACTCCCTGAGGGCTGCCCAAGGGATTCTTGCATATTCAGATTCCAAAACTGTTGAGGTGGTTAGAGCTTCCAGGCCTAGATAAGTTAATGAACACAGCTAATGGTGTTGGTGTCATCAGATCATTCCATCAGAGTTTGGGTTTCTGCACCAGGGATCTCTGGTCACATGAATATTTGCACACTCCATCTGGAGCCCTGTCTCAGCTAGTGTTCTGTTCCCAGCACTGACCACCAGTTTGGAAGTAGATACAGATAAATGTTTTGAGAAACTAATGGATTATCCAAATTTACTTTATCAATAGATTCTTAAAATCCTTTATAAAGGAGGAAATAGAAGTGCGTGTATGGGTGTGCATGCATGTTTCTGAGTGAACTTGAAAGAAATGTTAGATGAATGATCCAGCAAATTTCACCCTAACTCCACCCTGGATTTTGGCCCAATAGAATTTGAGTTAAATTTAGCAAGTTTTAAGTAGGCATTTGTGTTATTAAGGAACTTGATTCTGATCCACTGTGGAACAGAAATTCCCATCTTCATCCCTGGCCTGGGCAGGCTGTGTGTCCAGAGTGTGTTCTCATGCCCCGTGTGCTGACATACCCTGTCTCAGGTATGTCAGCACATGAGGCAATGAGAACACCATAGGACTGAGCTGTTGGTGATTGGGATCAAATTGATAAGAAAAAAAATTACTTTCCAACATCTTACTCTGAAATCACTGTGGAGTATGACTCTGCATAAAGGTCCCACTTCAGAATTCTCTGAAAATATAGAGCCACCCTTTACTTCAACATCACATTGACACATAAAAGTATGAGCACAGAACCTGTGCTGGTCACTCTGTTATTGGACCTTGATCTCAGGGTCAGGAAAGAACAGGATTTGAGGGATGAAGGTTCACCCACAGTAGAACTGGTATTGGGAACAAGTGGGGCCCCTGGCATAATATCCTCAGGCCTGCACTCAAAGGTCATAAAGTTAACCTGTGCCTGCACCTTCCCTTCCTGGGCCTTCACAACCAAGAATGATTCTAGGTAAGAGGGCCAGTTTTCTGCCTTGTTCCTGTCACACAGAACTCTTCCCTCAATCCCTGCTGTTGCCAATCAACAAATGCCTTGTTTTTTGCTGGTCTGTTGTTTCCTGATAGTCTGTCTTAATCCATTCATTAGTCTCTTTAAGAATTGAAAGCCTTTTTTTTTTTTTTTTTTTTTTTTTGGTATTAGGGATTGAACTCAGGGGCATTTGACTACTGAACCACATCCCAGCCCTGTTTTGCATTTTATTTAGAGAAGGTCTCACTGAGTTACTTAGTGCTTTGCTTTTGCTGAGGCTGGCTTTGACCCCATGAACCTACTTCATAGTCCCAAACCACTGGGATTATATGCCTGGCAGTTTCTTGGGGGCGGGCGGGGGTGTTGTTGTTTGTTTTGTTTTGTTGGCAACCATTAATTCTAAAACAGGCTGAGCTAGCTAGGTGGAGAAGATAGATTTACCATGAGATTTGTTAAGCCTTAAATCCTATATTGAACCACTCTGAGCAAGTTTTTTCATAAAGTCCTTTTTATAGGTCACAACAGCATGTATTATTTGTTGAAACAGGATTTTGTGGACTGCCCATAGAACCTGTTTAAATATCATTGAGAAATGGGAGAATTTACTTTTATTCCCAAAAAATCATCCATGGAAGAACTTATTCGCCCAATACATTGGGGTCTAATTGTACAAATTGGGGTCTAATTATACAAATGTGAAATAATAGAGAGTTCTGTATGCTGGAGTAGCAAATGAATGATCTCAAAGCCCTAGGGTTTAGAAGGGGAAAGGAGCCTCTGAGTGAAGATACCAAGAAACCTTAATAGGGATGGTGGGGCTCAGCTGGCCCAGGAGAGGTTCAAGTGTAGATAGCCAGAGGCCATAGCATCTGCAGGATGCAGGTGAGGGGTGCTGCAGGTGGGCGAGCTTCCTGGCTAAACTGGAGTTCCTTTTCTGAAAGGAGTGGTGATGATAACATCATCACGTCATCAGTATATCTAATTTTTAGGATTTACAGAATACTGGCACATGTGTTATTTATATTTAGTTCTTAAGAGTCTAATGAAGTGGACAACCTGTATTACCTCTGCTTTATAGACAGTACTAACAGAGTTACAGTAACTTGCCTAGGGCCAGTGTTGCTGTACTTCATGTAACTTGGACTGTGGCCCACCCTGCCTGTCATACATACCCTCCTTTCCCACTGAGTTCTTAGCAGTGGATCCTGCCAGGGAAGAGACAGATAAGAGGTAATGGGACTCACTATAGTATTCCCTGAATTGTTTTGTTTTTTCAGTATTGGGAATTAATTTTCCAATGAACTACATTGCCAACCCTTTTTACTTTTTTATCTTGAGACAGGAACTAACCAGGTTATCCAGGCTGGCCTTGAACTTGCAGTCCTCCCAAGTGACTGAGGTTATAGGTGTGCCCTTCCACATCTGGCATCCCTAATTAGTTTTAATTGGACAAAAGTCACTAATACTCTTCTGAAAGCTCAAAGTTTGATGTGTAGGGAGAAAGTTGGAGACTAGTGTAAAATGAATTTGCTTTATTACCTATTAGAGGAAATTTTAGAATTAGTACCTCCCATTCTACCCTGTGTGACATTAGAGAGGCATATGTGTGTATCTGTGTCTCTGCAGTAAAAATTCACTTTTGATTGAAGATAGAAACATAAGCAAAGGTTGGTCAAACAGGTATCCTGAGTCCAGTTGGTGACTTTTCTTCACCTGAACAGGATCAGCAGGTCCTTTAGAATTCATCTTGCATGATGATCAGTCTTATACCCCACAGTACCTAGCTTGTGTTTTACTGCAGGAAGTAACTACTTTGTAGACATTGTAACTCTAAGTGGCCATCAAGGCCAAGCAGCAGTGTGTGGCACTTGGAGGCCCAGAGGAGTCTTACTTCCCAGAGCTGGGGTACTGTCCAGCACTGCAGAATTGTCTTTCCAGGTGGCTTCAGGGTTCCAGTGGCTGCCTGTGGAGAAAGAGTGGCGGTTACTAAGGTGGGACATGGTAGCCTACCTCCCAGGGACCCCCCAAAGCACCTTGCCAAGAACTGTCATTGGTGTCTTCATTTTATTCAAGAAGGAGGCCTGCTTGGCTCCAGAAAGTCTTTGTTTTCTATTTTCCATCTTTGGGAATATATTTCATATCTCTGCAAATCCTGAACCCTTGCAGAGTATAAATGACACAGACTCAAGGCTTCACAGTCAGTTGGGCTATCCAGGCAGAGCCAAGGGCCTGGGAAGGGACCAGGCAGGAAATTTGCCCAAGGCCACACTGTCTCAGGTAGGGCTTGGACTGGCTGCTATAGTGAGCAACTAGGATTATATTTTCAGACCATAGAGACTTCTCCCTTAGACTAATAAAACAGATGGATCATGGATCTGGGACAAAGTTATAGTTGGTGTGCTAGCTTTTTTTTTTATTGTGCCCCAAAGTACCTGACAACAGCAACTTAGAGGAGAAAATGTTTGTTTGGGGCTCATATTTTCAGTCTATGGTCCACCAATTCCATTGCTCTGAGCCTGAGGTGAGGCAGAACATCCAAGTGGAGGAAAGCTGCTGAGCTCATGGCAGCCACAAAACTGAGGTTGGGGGCAGAGGTGCTGCACACTCAACAGAAGGAACCAGAGACAAAATATAGTCCATGAGTAGGCTCCCAGTGACCTATTTCCCTCAGCCACACCCTACCTGCCTACATTTAACAACCAGTGCAGTAATCCTTTGAAATTATTAGTCCATTGAATGGATTAATCCAACGATCAGATTACAGCTTTCATAATCTAATCATTTCACCTCTTAGCATTCCTGCTTCAGTTCATACATGATCTTTTCTGGGGGAAACATCTCAGAACTAAACCATAGCAATTGGTAAAGATTTGGATCAAGAGGCCTTGGGGAAGGGCAAAAACAGAAAAAGCACCTGTGAAAAAACACAGGATTTAGTGGTATATGTGAGGCAAAGGAAATCTTGATAAAATGATTTAAGAGAAGGTCAGTAAAAATAAGTATGCTTTAAGAGAAGGTCAGTAAAAAATAAGTATTTTCTGCCTGCAGAGCCCCCCTGGAGTCTTGGACCCACCAGCCTTGTCTTGATCCTTTGGGTGAAAGAAAGGCTGTTCAGACTGTTCCATCAGAAACAACACAGAACAGAAATGGAAGTGTTGCCTTGGGAACAGGCCCATAACACACTAGAAATCTGATGATAATTAGTGGAAGCAAGAGGGGACACTCCTTTCCTTGGCAGAATTAGCTACTCTAGGGGTGGAGCTTCAGAAAGTGTTTGTAACTGAGAGACGCACCCTCCCCCAACCCCCTCCATTGTGTTTAGTTTTCACCATTGTTATCTCTTCCTTTTGAGAAGATCAGGTTTAGTAATATAAAAATAGCTCCTAAAAGAAAACTATCCACCAGATAGGAACCAAGTCTCTTCCTTCCATTCTCTGGAGAAATGTGTACCTCTCTTCCTTGTATTCTATATTCTGGGTTCTTGGTGTAGCCTAAAAAGAGTGACCTTTAGAGTCCTGGTTTGTCATATACTGACAGATAATGTCATCTTTCTGAGCCCTGTTCTGTAAAATGACAAGAATAATAATTACAATAAATCAGGATATTTTGAGGATTAACTGTGATCATGGCTATAAACCACCTAACAGAGAGAGGTGAACACACAACGGTTGCTCAGTAAGTGGCAGCTAAGAATTTTTAGATCATGGAAGCTATTTAGTTTACCAACATGTTTCCGTGTATAGCTCTGGAAGATCATCATTATCTCTTGAAATTCATTTCTTATAATACTTACTGACCTTGCCCCCAAGTATTGTGCCTTAAGATATTGAGAAGTCCTCTTTGAAGCAAATAAATCACAGACAATGTAGTTGGCATACTTGAGCTTTAGGATTTTTATGGGTGGGGACTTCAGATTGAATCCAAGGTTTTGAAAATGCTAGGTAAGAGCTCTACCACTGAGCTACATGCTTGATCTTTTACTTTGAGACAGTTTCGCCAAGTTGCCCAAGCAGTAGTCCTCTTGCAGTTTGGATTACAGACGTGCACCATCATGCCCAGCTTTGAGATTCTTGACCTGCCTTGTATTGTGTCACCAGTACATCATCTGACCTTGCCATGTCTTATTTATTCTGTCATATGAGGGGGTTAATATTGCACTGAAGATGGGTAAACTTCAATTATGAAATACATGAAAGTGATTTAAATCATGAAGGTGGGGTAATAGGATGATAAAGCAAGCCTCCCAATAACTTTTATCACACAATACTTTGTCCAATTTGAATTCCTTACTGCTGTATGGCAGTAATAATAATATTTGTTTAAAATCTTTGTAAATGAGGCTTATTGGACTTCTCAATAAGCTTTGAATTATGGAGTTCTTATACTGAAGCCCAAGGGTCAATATTTCTGTATTTTTACATCCTGTTCCCATCTCCATCTTACCCCTCCATTGGGATACTGCTCCTAAAAGAAAACCACATTTTCTCTATCACCTAATCTTTCTCTCCACTCTAGAATTGAATTTGGGGTGTCAGGGTTAAAAGGGTAATATTGTCATCCCTGTACTTGGGGCACATTTCTCTTTGGGTTTTAAGTGTGCCCTTCAGTTGTCACAGTCAGCTTCTCTGACTCTTACTGAGAGAGTCCTGTACTCTAAACATTCCCATGTTTGCAGAGAGCTGTGCTACTTCTGAGCAGTTCTAACTCCATGGAATAGGGAGAGGGGGAGTCCCCTTTTTTTTGTTTGAAGTAGAAATTTTTTTTGGAGGAAAATACTTTGCACTGAAGATGAAGAAGAATAGAAATCCTCTTCTTGTAGCCGCTCTGTGAAATAATTGTGGATATTATTTCCATTTTACTGATAAATAGTTGAGAAGTAAACTGTTGATTTGTTACAGTGTGGGCGTCATTATTTTCTATACCAAATTGGCCAGCAGAAGCATGTGCAGATGTGGTGTGCATGTTTATGTTTTAAAGAACATAAAGGCAGAAGCAATAGGAAAATTGCAAGCAAGCACATGTTCACATGTGTACAACTTTAGAAGGAGAAAAACAGATACACATCCCCTCCCCTCTGGCACAATTTTAAGGGAAATAAAAAAAAATTCTGACAGTTTTCTATTTCCCCTGACTTTTGGTGGGGTTTGGTTTGGTTATTTTGTGGGTACTGGGGTTGAACCAAGGGGCACTTTACCACTGAGCTACATCTCCAGGCCCTTTTACTTAAATTTTGAGATAGGGTCTTCGAAGTTGCTGAGGCTGGCCTCAAACTTGCAGTCCTCCTGTTTTAGCCTTCCAGGTAGCTGGAATTACAGGTGTGCATGCCACCTCATAATTTTGTTTCTTTTTCTCTTTTTTTGCACTGCTGGGGGATCCTCTTGCTTACTGGGCAACTGCTCTACTTCTGAACCACATCCGCAGTCCCATGCTCTAGTATTATAATGGCTGATACTTGCCCCAAGTACTTGAGTTGCATCCAGATTTGGAGTGGATCATCTTTAGCTCATCTGGCATTGCCAGTCAGTATGAGGTCCCTGGGATGTGCATCACATTGCTTCAACCTGTGGGAAATCATCATCATCTTCCCTTACACATGTCCACGCAGAAATGTGCCCACATTGTACTGATGTTTTGACTAGTTTTTTTGTTTGTGGAAAGGATATTCTGGGAGGACTGTTTCTTTGCTGCATTCGTTTGAATGTGAACCAGACTGAAGTGATCATTTGAAATCCGGTCTTCGGGACAAAGTGTGAAAGAGCAGTGGCTTTGTTCTTCTGGGTAGACACTAGGAAGATATCAGCAGCCCCTGTCTATTCCTTGTTCTCTTTTTCCTTAGACCTTTCCCTTTCATCCATATTGTTCTCCTCATCCCAACTTACTTAGGAAGTAACCTTTTCTGCCTGTAAGAGATAAGACTCATGAGAATTTTCTGCTGGGACACACAGAATACTTCTGACCTCCTTGCTCTGCAGGGAACAGCACCTGTAGGTGTAGGGAGACCACTCACTACCTCACTAGCCACGTGCACAAACATTGAGAGGAATAAAAAAGGCCTCAGAACAGCAGGATAAATGTCAGAGCCCCTGTACCAGAATTCACACACCTTTTTTAGAGGCAGCTAAATCTCCATCACTCAGCTTGTAGCAGAGTTTTAACCAGGCTTTATTCTATCCACCAGTCTCCTGGCTATGAGAAGAACAAGAAGCTGCTGTGAGTAGTTACTTTTTCAGTAGTGAGAAGTAGTAGCTAACCCAAGAAATGATCAGGAAAAAACAAAAGAGCCCATGTGAGAAACAGATGCAGAGTTCCGCACTTCTCACTAGGGAGAGATAGCCCTGTCTACCTCACCAAGGGCAGCACTGACCCACACACATCGAGGAAAAAAGACCTCTCCACATCAGGAAGAAAGGTCAGAAACCCCTGTACCAGCATTCATATACTTCACCTTAGAAGCACCTAATCCCATCCCTGTGACTCAGGAGGCTGGTGGGAGTGCTTCTGAGAGAGAGTGTCAGCCTCAGACAGTGTCTATGATCATATCTAACCCTTTTCCTGCCTCATTGGAGTGCTCAGTTTTCATCATCTTTTTGCACTGCCTGGGGATCAACCACAGGGCCTCATACATGCTAAGCAAGAATTTACCACTTTTGATAAGGCCTCTGCCTGTAATCTTATTTCTTTGATGTCAAAGTACATTCTTTCATTCTTTTTAATCTGGGTCTTCGGGACAAAGTGTGAAAGAGCAGTGGCTTTTGTTTTTGTTTTTGGTGCTGGGGATTGAACCCAGGGCCTTATGCAGGCAAGGCAAGCACTCTACCAACTGAGCTATATCCCCAACCCCATTCTTTCATTCTTATATGTCCTTTTCTGTAGGAGAAAAGGAAGTATAAAATAATATGATAATCTGAAACTGGGCATAGTACACTTAAATGGCCACTCTCACCCAAATAACTTTACTTTTAGATGATCTCCAGCTAGTAAGTCAGTAAGATCTTAACTATAGAGGAAAAAGGCAGGAAATGGGCAAGATATTTTCATAGGGCTGACTGCTGCACACCTGGCCTCCTTTTTCACATGAGGTCAACTCACCTGTGAGTGTTCAGTTCACTTGTGCACATGCCCTGTGCTCAGAACCCAACCAGAGACCCCTAAGGATACAGCAGTGTGAAGCATCATGCCTGCCATCTATCAGCCAGCAGTAGAGTTGGAAGTAAGAAGAGCAATATAAGAAACAACAGAGAAAATAAAAAATATAGGGCAGTGATGAGTTCCTGGACTACATTGGTGTGTAGAGTTGTGGGAAGAGACCTCTAAGAACTGGAGTAGTTGTACATGTCTCCAAGAAGGAAAGACAGGCCTTGACCTGAGACTTGGAAGTTGGGTGGGACATGGTGCAATGACAATAAGATGCTAGGAAGCAAGAATAGCAGCCACCAAGTCAGTGAGGCAAAAATGCATTCTTGTGACTGGGAGGGTGTGAGCTTCCTGTTGGGTCTTTTTGAGATGATGACATCAGCTTCAGGTGCCCCCTGGACCAGAGGAGATGAATGGGAAGTGGAAAGCAGGTGCAGGAGTTGGGTATGAACTTGGTTTTGGCACATAGATAATAGTGACCTAATGAAACTGTGTGTATACACACATGTATACACACAACACATAGTAGGAAGATAGAATAAAGGTAAAAATATTTACAGTAAATATGTTATATATTTGTGTGTGTAGCAGATACCATAGAGATATACATGGTAGGGGTGTGTGTGTGTGTGTGTGTTACATATGTGTGTATGTATATATTTGTTTTATTTAAAATGTTTACCTTACAAGGGCCTCATTTTGATTTTGATACAGCTGAGGAAAAGGAAGGAACATTTGGGGTATTCAAATTATACCCTAATTTTTCTACTCTCCTTTTTCTCCTCTTTCTTTCTTTTCAGTAAGTCACACCCTTTTGTTTAACCCCTTCCCCATGCCCCTCACAAAACCACCATTTGGAAATTCTCCTGACTTGGTGGTGTGTCCCATCTGTATTTTGCACCATCCTTAGGAAGTGACTCAAACCAGCAGGTGGCAAATCTATTTTTATATTGAAAATAATCAGAAAATCCTCACAGGTGTTAGTCATGCATCTGCAAAAAGCTTTGTAGATGGCAGCAGGAGCACTGAAATTCTCTGAAAATTGGGTTCACTTTTTTCTAAATTTCCCATTTCTGTCCTCATTTATAAATAGCTTCCACAATTAAACCTCTGGAAAGTAATCAGAGGGGGGTTATAGTTCCCTTAAGTAAACTTTTCTTTTCTAAGACTATTAGATAAATGTGTATTTGAACCAAATGAGCATACAAGATTTTTAGTGTTTTGGGTCAGGGGAGCACTGCATGACAGGCTGTCTCTGCCCAGTTGGATGATCTGTTTCCACCTCTGCTCTCATTTCTAGCCTAAACCCACCAAAGGACGAATGCGCATCCACTGTTTGGAGAATGTGGACAAGGCCCTTCAGTTCCTGAAGGAGCAGAGAGTCCATCTTGAGAACATGGGGTCCCATGACATTGTGGATGGGAATCACCGACTAACACTTGGCCTCATCTGGACCATCATCCTTCGCTTCCAGGTAAGGAACTCAGTCTAGGAACGCTGATGATACTCAGAACTTAGGCTAATCTCACAAGTTCAGGCCTCTTGGTGGAGCTGACCTCTCTATTCCAGAGGGACAAGGCAGGGAGAGCAGGTTAAAACTGCATCTCAGAGTCAGGGGTGTCATATCTGGCCCTCAGGACTGAGTGCTGCCCCTGGAGGCATGTAGAAGCTATTGTATCCTCCTCCCTCCTGCTCCTGACAGTCTTTGCTCTCCAGTCAGATGGACTCAGTGGTAGGAGTTTCCAGGCTGCATCCCTGCCCACCACTTCCCCAACATCTTGTCTTGTCTCTGACACTTCACTTTGCCAGGCACAGAAGTATGAGGATGAGGCTGATGCAAATCTACTAGCAGTAGACTCTGAACTTCACCAAGTGGAGAAGTATTTTAAGTCAGAATGTACTTTCAAAGTCATTTTGACCAAGAAGTTTGGAACCTTGCCCAGGTTTCTGACCCATAAGAGCTCAATATTTCAAGATGAAGCACCTCCAGCCTGAGTCCTGGCTCCTTCTCCAGGTGTATGCTTCCTGCTCAGGCTCTTCAATTAAAATTTGAAAGGCAGGAACCACTTTTTACCCTGGTGTCAGGTTACTCTGCAAACAAATATCCCAACAGTCCTGTCTCCTGGGTGACTGTGCACTCCATGCCTTTCCTTCCTGTTCTGCCCCTTTGATAAAGATCTGATTGATTTTTCTGGGCAAATAAAAACCTCGCACAAATGAAAAATCAAGTTAGAGCCGTCTTTGTTTTTGTACTGAAACCAACCTGTGACTAATCCACTAATCCCTTTTCCTCCTCACTTTGCCTAGGATCCGGCTTCAGTTTGCAGTGTTCTGGGTGTGCATGTGTGTGGAGGGGGAAGGAGGCTAAAATGGAGTCACATTCAGAAAGGGCTCCCTGACTGGCTGGTTCCCAAACCTGGCTGATCATCTGCCACCATTGTGAAAGCTCCTTAATAATTCAGATGTTTAGAGCTCAGCCCAAGTGATTCTAATTTAGTAGATCTGAGGAGGGGACCACTGTTGAAGATGACATAGCTTAACAGAGTTAATTGCAATCATCAAGGACATTTTTTCCCCCAGACACAACTCTCATGTAGTGTCTGACATTTAGTTCCTGAATTATTGAAAATGGAGTGAATGCTATTAAATTCACTTAATTGTTGCTCTCATGTATTATGCCAACAGATATGAAAATAGCAAAACATTCCTTGAGCTTGACCCCGGTTTTGTAGAGCAAAGCATTCTATGTCTATTGCCTTTGACCAATGGTAATCAGGACATGGAAGGGCATTCTGACTGTGGCTTTTCTTGACAGCGGGTCAGTTCCCATGTCAGGGAGCTGGCACACACAGCCCTTTTCAGGATTCTCAGCATGAATTGGGTTGAGTTGTTGGCTAATTAGCTTCCTGCCAGCTTTTCTTTTTCCATACTTCAACCTGTGAATGCTGATACAAATTTTGCCTTTGAGGGAGGTTCGAAGGTTGCCGATGCTAGTGTATGGCCTGTGGTGTTCGTTTCTTACATAACTCAGCCTCTTCCACTTGTTCTACCGATTAGCTAAGGCTCAGCTTCTGCAGTAAAGCATCCTGTATGTCTACAGAGATCTCTCCTTCCCCCTTAAGTCTTAAGCTCCCTATTCCCAGGACATGTCTTATACCTATGTGATAGGAATCCATTGATTACTGATGGCAACACAGGTTTTAGGCTGCTGTACCTTTAAAGAGAATAAAAGCTGGTAAGAGAAACTGGAAGTCTTGAGTTGGCCTAGTCTCAGAAGTAGCTGTCTTCATTTCAGAAGGGTAGCTATAACTTGTTTCTACATGGGTAAATCTGGAAAGAGATGCCCTTTTTCACATAGAAGTGTGAGAAAACTGACAATGTGTGCACACAGTTCCAGCCTGTCTTTCCTTGTGTCACTTAGTGATTGAAGATTACTCTTTCTTGTTCACTTTGCACATGAGCTAATGATTCTAATAAAAGAGTTTGAGGTTTTTGAAAATTCAGACTTCACATTCTTACCACAATTAAAAATGGAGTTTTTCTTTAATTACAGTTATTTAAATTTCTAGGTATTTTTCCTAGTTGAAAGTTTACAACATTTACTTTTATTTTTAGATATGTCGTCCTCCTTGTATCTCTTTTGAAAAGAATTCTGGGAAATATTTTTAGATTGAATGGAGGGGGTTTGACAGGAGGTAGGTCAGAGAAGCTTGGGATGGCTAGAGCTGGAAGATGAAAGATAACCTTCTGGGCTGATCCACCCACTTCCAACTCCCATCCCCAATTTAATTATGCTCAAGAAACTACAGGCAAAGGGTAACATCATAACTGGGAGCTGGCTCCTAGCCCAAGAACTGCTATTTACCAGGCCTTTCTATGAGCACTTTCTTTACCTCATTAAGATGCATGGCAGTGCTGTGAGGTAGCCGTTGTAACTGCCATTCCTCAGATGAGGAGTCTGAGGTACTCAGGAGGTAGAGCCTCGATTCACCCAGTTAGTCTGGGTGACTTTGGTGCCAATAAATGAGACTTTATATTGAACATACGCTGTTTATGAGGGGCTTGCAAATGCAAACCATGGAAACACAGCAAAATTTAAGCATTCCCTTTTTCTGAGTAGTGCCTGTATTCTCATCAACGAAGTCCCCATATTTATGTGAAAAAATTGTTATGAAAAACCAAACTAAATATGTTTCTGGGCTATGATAAAGTTCCAAGTATGCTGTGAGAACTATTGTGCTAGCTTGTAGTTGGAAAACCAGGTTCTCAGGGGCAGAAACAACTCTTAACTGTGCTAGGAAATAATGCAGGTCGTCATTTTTCCTCCATCCTTATCTCCGTAAACTCTGGCTAGTGCTTCTGAGCTGAGCCTTTTACTTTGGGAAGCAGTTTTCATTGACATGTAAGCAAGTAATTTGCAGGGTGAGACTTTGATCCAAAGTTGACTTTCATATAAATGCAGACCTGGTCTTCAGTGGCTGTTAGGCTGCTAACCCATCTATTTGTCAAATTTTTGTTTATAAATCTTAGATCCAGGACATCAGTGTGGAAACAGAAGATAACAAAGAGAAGAAGTCTGCCAAGGATGCCTTGCTGCTGTGGTGCCAGATGAAAACAGCTGGGTGAGTGAATGCAAAGGGCATCGGGGCTGCTTCTTCCAGGACAGAGTTCTGCTTTAGTCCTCACTTATAAGGTGCTGACAAGTGTCTTTTCCATGGCTTCCATTGAGGAGGCTTGTTAACACATAAGCAGTTACTATGTTGACATTTCAGCTAGCTTTTGGAATGGAAGGAGTCCTGATTTATAGTTTGAACCTGTCATATTTCTTCAATCAGAGGCATTCACTTTTTTAAAGGATGCTCCAAAGACCATTATATTTTGAATTTTAAAATCCTGGAAGTGTTATTAAGAATCACACCCACTGTATTTTTAAAATGCTTTTGAAAGTTTTTTTCTCCCTTTAACTTCTGCTGTTTGGGGGAGCTTTGCTCAGTAAACTTGAGAGTAATCTTTATGTCCAAGTTTTCCTTTCTTTTATTCTCTCACTGAAGTTTTAGTGAAGATAATTTTCGAGAACTGCATCTCTTTTGTTGCTCACCAAAGTTTTCTGGGCTCAGCTGGTACTAAATATACAAAGTTATCATCAAAGTATTTTAGTCATATGTTTTTTTTTTTTTTGTTAGTCATATGTTCTTAATGAGAATTGATTTTATATCAGGTAAATTGGAGAATTACTCTCAATACCACATGTTCCTATAACTAATGAATATGAAGTATGGAAACTGTGAAGAGCTTAGGACCTAATAAGCGGGTCAAGTCAGATAATGATTCTTTAATCAACTATAGGTAACAACCTTATTAATAACCAGAATGGTATAGAATAGCTTGTTGGGGATAAGGTTCAAACATAGGCAAATTTTTAAGGAAGGTACTTAACTGTATATAAAACTTCATATAACTAAGTGATATAAGGGAAAAAGAAAAGCTGAGTATCACATGAAGTGGTAGCCCCATCTGCCTTTGTATCCCAGAGTGATGTGTATATTCGTTTCCCAATGACTGCTGGTCCTGGTATCTTATTATGTGGAGTAGAAAGCCAAAGGAAGCAAGAGGCCTCAGCCATATCTCTAGTTATGGTCATTTTTTCCAAAGTAAGAGTAGTGCCTTAAATCTAGGGCACAACACAGTTCATGCCTTAATTACCAAGCAGGAGAAGCCACATAAGATATATTTTATTTTTATTTTATAGCGAACTGAAGTTGACATAATTGACTTTAATGATAGGTATTATCTTGGATTTTACAGTGCTTAGCAAACTTTTTTTTTTTTCATTTTTGCAGCATGAGGGATTGGATCCAGGGGTGTTCTGTCACTGAGCTATACCCCCACCCTTTGTAATTTTTTATTTTGAGACAAAGTTTCCTCCCTAAATTGCCCAGGCTAGCATCAAACTTCTTGAATTTTAAAATCCTGGAAGCATTGTTAAGAATCACACCAATTGTATTTTTTAAATGTTGTTGAAATTTTTCTTGTAATTCTCATGTCTTGGCCTCCTAAATTGCTGGGATTATAGACGTGTACCAGTGTGCCCAGCTACAAACACATTTTAACACTGCATTTAGCAAAAGTATAAACCGTTATGTGGTAATTCTGTTGATTTTCTCTTGTGCTTTGTTCTTGGCAGGTACCCCAATGTCAACATTCACAATTTCACCACTAGCTGGAGAGATGGCATGGCCTTCAATGCACTGATACACAAACACCGGTAAGTCTAAAGAAATCATGCTAACAATTGTGGGATAGAATATTGCTGTTCTTCCAAAATAGATCTTGGTGACTTATGATTTTCAAGTCCATTGCCTTAGATGTTATCATACCACAGTGGAAATTTCTGCATTCCATGTGAGGAAAATATGGGAGAATAAGTAAATTATCCAAAACAAAATAAGCAAGTTAAAACATTATCTTTCATTCTCTTAATATATTCTACAAATGTTTATTCAAAAATCAGGTGTCATTGTTAAATAATTACATAATTTTGTAGTTTTACTACACTAAGTGGTTATTTTTAACATTTTTTTGGAGTAATGATCAAGTTTCATTAGTCACATGATTTGCTTCTAAGCCATGATTTTTGTTATATTTGGCTGTGTTGTTTGTTCTATATAGTCCTGATCTGATAGATTTTGATAAACTGAAGAAATCCAATGCACACTACAATCTGCAGAATGCATTTAACCTGGCAGAGCAACATCTTGGCCTCACTAAACTGCTGGACCCTGAAGGTAAGGACTCAAGGAATGAAAGGTAGGATTTTAGCAGCAAAGGTTTAATATAAAATCTGTCTTGTGTCCGTACCTTTTATTCATATAGTATGCTTAGATATCAAAGAAAGGGGACCTTAATTTTGTGGAAATTTAAATAGTCTGAAGGAGAAGGTGTGCTAGGCAGAGGGAAGCAGGTGAGTTTGAGCACTGTGGATCTAGTGGGAATGGTGGTTAGGCTGACAATGAATGAATACCCCAGGAAGGGTTGGGTGCCCCACAAGCTAATGCCTTTAGAGATTGTTCAGCAGGCAATGGGGAGTCCTTGTAGGGTGTTAGTGCCCGTGTTTATGGTACACAACCTGGCATAGATGTCCAGTGATTGCTTGTTTATTGACATTCACCTGAAGGTGAATGCTTTGGGATGATTGGAGACTGAAAAATGGGCTGAGTGTTGTTTGCTTGTGAGCAAATAACTTATAAATGAGGAAAGTGCATCTGGGAAAGGGAATATGGGTAGAAGCAGCCGCAGCACTGAAAGTTTTTTCTTATGGCTGACTGCATCCCATTCTCCTCATGAACTAACTATTCTGCTCTGGGGCTCTATGTAGTAGCCTGAAGCCCCACTGCAGGTGACACAGCTGGCCTGTGTGGGACAGTCCACAAAATCCGAATTCCGGATTTTATTTCAATGTGGTCTCTCCGAACAGTGTTTTCTGATTTTGGAAAACATTTAAAACATATAAGGATTTGTTTGTTGTGCTGGAGCTTTATATATTCTCTTAGCTGTGAGCAAGTATTGGAGAAACTATGTGTATATGAGTGAAAGTTTAAAGTTCTTATAAATATACAACAGGAAGTTTAACTCCCCAAGGGCAAATTGAGGTCATGAGGCTGCCAGGCTGGTTTGCTGCTGTTTTCCAGTGCATCAGATTCGCTGATATGTTCTCCACAGGAAGCTAAGATAAAATTATGTTTGTGCTAACCCATTAAATGATTTCTCAATATAAACAGAAAAGTAAAATTCTTTCAGTCATGATAAATCTTCATGTTTTAACCCCTGCCTTACTATCAAAGGGAGACTTGCCTTAGCCCTTTGTGCTTTTACAAAGAATCTCTTTTTTTTCCTGTCACACTGACAAATATTTCATTAACTACTTCTTTAATTTTTCTAATGATCAACCAGTATAAAAAGGGGATTGATAGTTCTCAGATCAGAAGCTAAAAATGGCAGTTGATATGGTCCTGTGGGTTTGATATATTTTTTGGTACTGGGAATTGACCTCAGGGGTGCTTAATCACTGAGCAACATCCCCAGCCCTTCTTTGTATTTTATTTAAAGACAAGAGTCTTGCTAAGTTGCTTAGGGCCTGGGTAAGTTGCTGAGGCTAACTTTGAACTTGTGATCCTCTTGCCTCATCTTCCCAAGCCACTGGGTTACAGGCATGTGTATTTTGTCTTGATTATTAGTTCTTAGTCCCAAGCTAAGATAGACCCAAATATTATTAGTTGTCCAGTGCCTCAAAGATTATCAGTTAAAATATACTTGTAGACCAACTAAAAAAGAATTTTTTTTGCCTGTTCAGTCCTTTCAGTTATATCAGCATTTTATGTTTATTAAATTATATACATGCCTGACATTTTATTCAGGCTATCCTTTAGTTCTCTCCTCTCTGGGCACCTTTGGTGGGGCTGAGCAGACCCAGGAACCCTCAGGGGAGAACAGTACCTGTGATCTGGTGGTTACTGTCATTGGCTGCTGTGTTGACCTTGGACTGGGAGTGTCCCAGCCCTGTGCCCTAGGTGTTCTCATGTTTAAAACAAGAGAAACAATCTCACTTCATATAGGCTGTTTGGAGATAAAAATTAAAGTGTACGTATGAGTGTATTTTGAAGAAGAGCCTGATGCATCTTCTCAGAGCTATCCTGTTTGTTGTGTACTTAATCTGACCCAGGCTAGTGCTGCCCTCAATACTGCCATACTAAAGACTTGACATATTCATCCATTTGCTTCCTCACTCAGTAAATATTTAAATATTTACCTACTTTGTGCAGGGGTAACACACTAGGAATTTGGGAGGTGGAGTGACATAAGGGGCTAAGGCAGGGTAATCTTACCCTTGGGGAATGAGTCTTGGAGGCAAAGAATAAAAATAATACCTGGAAGAAAGTGGACTAGGTGCCCATATATGCAGTCCTAAGGGAGAAGAGGGAGAGAAAGAATAATTCCAGCTGTGGAAATCAGAAATGGCTGTATTGATTGGAATTATAACTTTTGAGCTGGATCTTGAAGGATAATAAGAAATGATGGGAGAGGAAGGCCATTTCAGGCAAAGGGAAGTTAAGAAAGAAAGGCATTTTGGATTTTTTTTTGCGTGCGTGTGTGTGTGTGTGTGTAGGGTCAGGTTTAATTTGAATATATAGTCCCTGAGAAGAAATAGGCTCTAGAATTTAGAAATGTCTAGAACAATGCTTGGCACTTAGAAAAGACTTGATAAATATTTGAGGGATGGATTGATGAAATAAAAGGGGGGGGCACTTGCCTAGAATGTGTGAGGCACTGGGTTTGATTCTCAGCACCACATATAAATAAATGAATAAAATAAAGGCCCATCAACATCTTAAAATTTTAAAAAAATAAATAAATAAAAAGACAAGGAAAGTTTCAACAAGATTCTGAAGGACTAAAGGGCTTATACTATAATCTTTACACTTAATGGCATTTTTGAGCTAGGAGAAAATATGTTCACAGTCGTGCTTGTAGAAGAATGGTCTGGGTGTACCATGTGCAATGAGTGGGGTAACAGAGAAACCCAGCGAGGGAGCCACTGTTTCAGGTTTGATTCTGATTCTGTGGCTAACTGGATATGGGTAACAAGGAAACAAAGATGTCTAGACTGAGTGACTTGGAGAGATTCTGGTGTCGTGGCAGAGATGAGAACTCAAGAACCACAAACTCAGTTTACTGGCAAAGGTTGGGAGTGTGTGATAAGGCAGGGAGCCAAACACAGTGTGTAGAAGGCATTTTATGAATATTTGTATCATATTGTAAATCAGTCAATCATATGGCTTCATCTTCATTATCCTCATAATAATATAGCAATGACAGAACTCTCAAGTGTAAAGAAAGGAAGGTGCTGGGTAGTTCAGTGTAATCGCACAGCTGTTCCAGGTTGTTACTGCTGCGTGGGTGGCAACATCATGAGTAGCACTCTGAAAAGAGTCTTCTCTGGATTACAGATATCAGTGTGGACCACCCTGATGAGAAATCCATTATCACTTATGTGGTAACTTATTACCACTACTTCTCTAAGATGAAGGCCTTGGCTGTTGAAGGAAAACGAATTGGAAAGGTAAGATCACATAAGTTTTCTAAGTTGTGATGCACAATTCAAATCAGTCTTCCTGTCTTGCCACCTAGTACCTTGTTTTTCTATGGGCTCATCATGATTGTGATTGCAAACCCAGTAACTCAAGACAGGAGAGTGAGCAGAAACTTCTTTCTGAAGGGCAATGAGAGGTAGGAGTGGGTGTGATGGCTGAAAGATCTAGGAAGGGAGCCCCAGACACAAACACTCTTCCCCTCAACGTTTCCAGAAAATTGGGTATCTAAAGTCTGATAGAGTCTATTAATGTGATGACCTTGAAATCCTGCTGGCCACAATAGAAAAGGCCTCAGTCTTATGCTTTTTACTTCCCATGTGGCTAATGTTCACCTGCCATATTTTTTCAAAACACCTGAGATCCGATGACATTGTCCTCCCAGTGCAATGAAACAGAAAATTCATGGGACAGGATCAAACTAAATTAAGCCCTTTTTGCTTCTCTAGGAATTTTTGTAGGTTGGACTGTAGAAATCATTCAGAATCTTTCCCCTGAGGGTTGGGAGGTTACAGAACCAATTACAGTTGAGTTAAGCTGTCTTTGCTCACAAATAATAGCCACTGTCTGGCTGACTATTAGCAAATAGTTCCTTGAATTAAAATGCTTATGCCAGAGCATCACAGAACCATTTCAAAGCCAGTCATTGAGTGTGCACATGCTCATTGTAGGCTTACAATCATGTTTTCCTTACATGGTGATAAATCTTGAGTTTTTCTAACTCTTGTTTATAGGTGCTTGACAATGCTATTGAAACAGAAAAAATGATTGAAAAATATGAATCACTTGCCTCAGACCTTCTGGAGTGGATTGAGCAAACCATCATTATTCTGAACAATCGCAAATTTGCCAATTCACTGGTTGGGGTTCAACAACAGCTTCAGGCATTCAACACTTACCGCACCGTGGAGAAACCACCCAAGTAAGATGCATATTGTCATGTATTACCATTAATTTGGCAGGAGAGATTATAGCATCCAGTAGACCCCCATTTTCTGACTTCTGTGATCCCATCTCTTAACTGAGTACCTCTCAAATGCCCTTTCTCCCTTTCATTTGCTTCTGTGTTGCTGAGATTTATTGTAAATCATGCCTTCCCCTTGAGCCCTGTCTAGCAGAAATGTGCCCTTGACATACAGAATATGTGAGGATCTTAAGAGCTGATACAGGTTCCCAGTCCCTACTCCAAACCCCTTCTGCCAAATGTCTTTTAAAACACCATATTTTGGGGGTTTTAGAAAAGTAGCACCGTGTATATGTTGTGTAGTATAAAACCTAAGGTATATCTGAGAGAGTAACCTATAGTTAGCCTACTAAATCTGTAACACAATATATAAACATTAATATCATGTTAAATAAAGGAGGACAGTCAGTGGCAACATGCCTTTAATCCCAGCAGTTTAGGAGGCTGAGGCAGGAGGATCACAAGTTCAAAGCTAGCTGCAGCAAAAGCAAGGCACTAAGCAACTCAGTGAGATCCTGTCTCTAAATAAAATTCAAAATAGGGCTGGGGATGTGGTACAGTAGTCGAGAGCCCCTGAGTTCAATCCCCAGGACCCCCCCTGCAAAAAACAACAACAAAAAAAAAAAAACAGTAAATCATTTCATATCCTTTCACATCATAACAGTTTTGACTTTTCATATATATAAAGTTCACAATTTTCAAGTAAGGATTGTGAATTTTATCTCGGTTTACTCTAGTTCTGAAGCCATTCACTTTTCTGTAAACTCTGTTGTAAATTTCTTGGTGAGGTCTCTGAAACCCATTGAAAATATTTGGAAGACATATAAAATAATCCTAGTTAAGTGCATTCACTGGGCTCTCTGAATCAAATAAGTCCACTGTGCAGGACTTAATCTTGATTGATATGATTAATAAAAGAGTACAGTATGCCCTTGACACCTTCAAATATAAATCCCAGCAACAGCAAGCAACCACAAAACAAAAGAAAGAACAAAACCTCTACAGTTTGGCATGTTCGAAGGTTTGTAAGGACCAACAGCTAACCAAGTCCACTGCTGTCTAACACACATTTCACACAAATCAGACCAGAGAGAAATAGCTTTTAAAATTGTGTGACTGTGTGAAATGTGTTTTTCCTTTAGTAACAAATGAATTTTCCCTCTTGAAAGAACAAATTCACTGAATCATGTTAATCGCTATTTTCTCTGTGCTTAGATTTACTGAGAAGGGGAACTTGGAAGTGCTGCTTTTCACTATTCAGAGCAAGATGCGGGCCAACAATCAGAAGGTCTACATGCCCCGAGAGGGGAAGCTCATCTCTGATATTAATAAGGTAAAACATCCATTCAGTCCCTTGTTGGCCTGAGCTCTTAACAAGCTTCAGGTTCTGTCTTTTAGTCTTGGTGTCTTAGTGTGCAGGAGAATGGAAGGGTCTCTCGCTGCCTGCTGAACTGATGAATGCCAGGTGTGGCAGAGGGTCCAGTGATTATTTGTGGTAGACCCATCTATTGGAGTTTTAGGGCAGTGTCAGATTTTATCAAACCAGCCTTAGTCTAGGCCATTTACTTTGTTACTCAGATTTATATTCAGTTTATCCCTCATTTGTCTGAAGCAATCATCTCAAACATCTTCACATTATACAAAGGAGAATTTAAAACTTTATTTCATGTATTTGAACCTAGAGGTTGTGGGCTTGCGATGTTGGCTCCTTCCATCAGAGAGGCAGATAAATAGTTTTCCATTATTGTGCATACAGTTATGTCTGAAGTTATAGAATTTCACAGTGGGAAATTAGAAAACTCCAAAACTCTACTTAGTTGTACACACTTTAAATTTCTTTGGAATGTTTGGATCTTTTTTTTTTTTTTTTTAATGTGAATAAGACACATTATAGAGATGAATTTAATGTGGACAATGGGTCGAGATTTTGAAACAAATATTCAGACTTAGGAATTTTTTTAAAGTAGCACAAGATGGAGTAAATGATTCAAAACATGATTTTGTTCTGAGAAAAATAATTTATCTTTTTTTATGTGATCAGAGCTATTTAAGATAATTACTTTGTTTCCTTTTTTAAAAATAAGAGATTTGTAATTTAATTGTATTCACCCCATATCTGTACTGTTTATATTCCAAGTACAATAGAGGATCTTTAAGTTTCCTTAGGGGCAAGTATCCCAGGAGACTACACCAAGAGAGAAGTAATTTTTTTCTCAAGGCTTAAATGTCTATGAGGGTGAGAATGATAATTTCCCTTTCAAGTTCTTGGGTCATTTTAAGAAATACTAGCTGTTGGCTGTAGACCAAAAAAAAAAAAAATTGTCTTGAACATTGCAGGAAACCATTCTTTTTTTTCAATTCTCCAGGCCTGGGAAAGACTGGAAAAAGCGGAACATGAAAGAGAACTGGCACTGCGCAATGAGCTCATAAGACAGGAGAAACTGGAACAGCTAGCCCGCAGATTTGACCGCAAGGCAGCTATGAGGGAGACTTGGCTGAGCGAAAACCAGCGTCTGGTGTCTCAGGTTCTGCTCTCTCTGTTATTAACAAAACCATTCCTGGGATAGTCTAGAAATGTTGACTGTCCTCAGAGGTCCAGGACTGTAGGACAGCTGCTCATTGGCTCTCAAGTGTTAGGAAGTGACCATCTAGCCATCTTGCTCACTTCCCATGAAGAGGATGTTTATAATTTCCAATATACTTTCCTTTTCTATTTATCTCACTCATCATAGAAACAGCTCACAGGGTTTGTTTAAAACTGGTGTGTGTGTGTGTGTGTGTGTGTGTGTGTGTGTGTGTGTGTGTGTGTGTCTGTGTGTGAGCCATTCACATTTACACGAAAGGTTTTAAAATGCCCCCCTTTTCTTCAGTCTGACCAACCAGCCTCAAGGCAGTAAAGTGGCTTTCATTTTCTTGGTTTGACATAAACTACCACCTGCTCTAGTCTCTTATGTTAGGTGGTAAGTATGAGCTGGAACCTCTTTCAAAAGAGAAGTTGTTGATTGGTTTTGGAGAGGCATCTGAGCTCTAGCAGGGAGTTTTAAGATATTTAAAGAGGACAGAAAGCATTGGGAGACTAAGGATTTGACTCTGTTCTATTTCTTCTGTTGTTGTTTGGATGACTTATTTTGTGTTTCTTTTCATTCCATTTCTTTGTAGGACAACTTTGGATTTGACCTTCCTGCCGTTGAGGCTGCCACAAAAAAGCACGAGGCAATTGAGACAGACATTGCTGCATATGAGGAGCGTGTGCAGGCTGTGGTGGCTGTGGCCAGGGAGCTCGAGGCAGAGAACTACCATGATATCAAGCGCATCACAGCAAGGAAGGACAATGTCATCCGGCTCTGGGAATACCTGCTAGAACTGCTCAAGGCTCGGAGACAGCGTCTTGAGATGAACCTGGGGCTACAGAAGATATTCCAGGAAATGCTCTACATTATGGACTGGATGGATGAGATGAAGGTAACACTTGACCTCTTAAAATAGAAGTGTTCATAAAATGTAGCAAAAGAGGTGCTACATAAATTACAATGCATATCATAATTTCAGGTTGTGTCAGAGACTTCCTCAGAAATGTAAAGTAGAAATACCATCTGGAGAGAGGATGAGAATATATAGGATAAGTGAAGGAAAGTACTTTGGCTGATTGATGGAAGAAACAAAATTAAATGCTAGAGGGTTTAAATTTAAGCCCCAGACCTTGTTTGGGATCTACCAAACATGATAGCCACCTGAGCCCACTCTTCTTATTTGGTTAAAGATGTGACTTGTTAACTTTTCTGCTAGATTCTTCTCCCACTGATTGTATGAATATCATGGAGACATATCAGTAAGCTCTTTGGATAGGAGACTCATTTACTCAAGGGGTCAACAACTTTTATAAGAGATTTCTTTAAACTCTGATGTGAACAAATCTGTTACCTTTATCTTTTCCTTCTTTTTTTAAATATTTTTTTTTTAGTTTTGATATACACAGCTCCTTCCTTCCATTTTTATGTGGTGCTGAGGATCAAATTAGTGCCTCATACATGTGAGGCAAGTGCTCTGCCACTGAGCCATAATCCCAGCCCTGTCTTTTCCTTCTGGAGTAGTGTTGGTGTAGCACTGTCTCTCTTGAAGTCTCAGTTTACATTTTAGAATCCTCCGTACAGGTCCCCACCCCTCTCTCTGTCTGTGCCTGGTGTGGGTCTTGCCTCTTTTCTTCCAAGGTAGATGGGAGATTGGCTTATTATGTCTTATTATGTCTCTCTTGATGCTGGCTTTTGGGTTCACTGTGCTTGAGCTTGGTTTGTTCACCATCATCTTCCCCTAAATTTGGGGGTCCATGGCGAGCCAAAGGGAAGCTATGACTTGGTTGTTGGCTCTCTGCTTGCCAAATATGATGTGATGCTGAAGTCAGGGTTGTTAATAATTTCTCTGTTGCCTCTTGTGCCCAGGTGCTATTATTGTCTCAAGACTATGGCAAACACTTGCTTGGTGTGGAAGACCTGTTACAGAAACATGCTCTAGTTGAAGCTGACATTGGAATCCAGGCAGAGCGTGTGAGAGGCGTCAATGCCTCCGCCCAGAAGTTTGCAACAGATGGGGAAGGTAAGAATGGACCTGTCCACACATCTCCTAAATACCAGAGACATGTATTTATAGGAGTACACAAGTTGTATATGGCAATGGAACTTTGAAGTTACTGCACTGTTGTAGGTTCTTGGTGGGTTTGTTCTCATCTTGTCATGAGGTGCAGTGCAGTGACCTTCTGAATGCTTTAACTCTGTTTCATTTTTTCTGAATTAAGTATTTTTTCCTTAAATACTCAAATGTTGCTTGGTTTTGAGTGGCTTGACATTTGGCAATGAAATTGCCAGACCACACAAAGTACTGATGTGCATCAACAACCTGGTGTGGCTGCTCCCATAGTGCCTGATTTCACACCTGGTCACATCTTCTGTTTAGAGGATGTTTAGAAAGATTTGCCTTTGCTGCTTTTATGTTTCTAAAAAAAACTAAGTGCTATTGCCTTCTTTCATATGTTTCGTATGCTTTCTTGTACATAAATGGTCAGTTTGTCCACAGTTGGGTCAAAAGAACAAGAACAATGTATATCATTGTCCACACTCCTGTTCCAGTCAAGCACCCAGAAGGGGCTCCATTGCTTACTCACACAGTCCTGCCCTTAGCATTGAACTGGTAATCAACAGTTAAAACATTGGGGCATAGCTTACTGCCTGAAAATGAGCAGAAACCCAGGGTAAGCTATCAAACACCCATATTCCTTCCTTGGTGTGAAACAGGCTACAAGCCCTGTGACCCCCAGGTGATCCGAGACCGTGTGGCCCACATGGAATTCTGCTATCAAGAGCTTTGCCAGCTGGCGGCTGAGCGTCGGGCCCGTCTCGAAGAGTCCCGTCGCCTCTGGAAGTTCTTCTGGGAAATGGCAGAAGAAGAAGGCTGGATACGAGAAAAGGAGAAGATTCTGTCGTCTGACGATTACGGGAAGGACCTTACCAGTGTCATGCGCCTGCTCAGCAAGCACCGGGCGTTTGAGGATGAGATGAGTGGCCGTAGTGGCCACTTTGAGCAGGCTATCAAGGAAGGTGAAGACATGATCACAGAGGAGCACTTTGGATCAGAAAAGATCCGTGAAAGGATCACTTACATTCGGGAGCAGTGGGCCAACCTGGAACAGCTCTCAGCCATTCGGAAGAAGCGCCTGGAAGAGGCCTCGCTGCTGCACCAGTTCCAGGCAGATGCTGATGACATCGATGCCTGGATGCTGGACATCCTCAAGATTGTCTCCAGCAGCGACGTGGGCCATGATGAATACTCCACACAGTCTTTGGTCAAAAAACACAAGGATGTGGCAGAAGAGATCACCAATTACAGGCCCACCATCGACTCGCTGCACGAGCAAGCCAGTGCCCTCCCACAGGAGCATGCTGAATCTCCAGATGTGAGGGGCAGGCTGTCAGGCATTGAGGAGCGGTACAAGGAGGTGGCAGAGCTGACAAGATTGAGGAAGCAGGCACTGCAAGATACCCTGGCCCTGTACAAGATGTTCAGCGAGGCTGACGCCTGTGAGCTCTGGATTGATGAGAAGGAGCAGTGGCTCAACAACATGCAGATCCCAGAGAAGCTGGAAGACCTGGAGGTCATCCAACACAGGTGAGCGAGGTCGCTGCCTGGGTGCAGGGGGTGCTGGCACACTCCCTTGTAATCTCTAGTAGTCATGGAGTTGACCATTCTTTTGAATCGCATTTTCAGATTTGAGAGCCTAGAACCAGAAATGAACAACCAGGCCTCCCGGGTTGCCGTGGTGAACCAGATTGCTCGCCAGCTGATGCACAGTGGCCACCCCAGTGAGAAGGAGATCAAAGCCCAGCAGGACAAGCTCAACACAAGGTGAGCAAGCATCCAGCAGTAGGCCAGTGTTTGGAGTTAGGGAGGGTAAGGTCACTGGTTGAGCTTCACTGTCAGGAACTTCTTGCGCAGGGTCATCACCATCACAGCAGTGATGTCATGACATTGGCATCTGACATGTCCTCATCCAAGAAGTGATTCTCGGGTGGGGTGACATCATTTTAGGCAGGAGGATAAGTAAAGTCAGCTTGGCACCTGCCCCTCCCCACATAGAGGTCAGGACTTGGGTTTGGATTGCACCTAGTGTGGTGTAAGGCAGCATAGTAGTACTTGTGCTGTCTGTACTTCATTAAATGATTTCTGGAATAAGATTCTCATGAAATTTGCCATGAAAGTCCTGATTGTCAGAATAGACTTTGTTCTGGTCTGTCTGTTGACTCAACATGTTTGAATAGGTTGTAGTGGAGTGCTGGCCATGGTTCTGAAGGTTGGCATGTGCCTTTGGGTTTGGGAAATGTCCCTTAGGAACATTTTGAGATGTTTAGAATGTGTACAGCAGATCTGAATTAAGGGACTCTGTGGGACAGATGTGTTGTAACTGCTAGTATTGGAGCTTGTTACACATCTCTTTGTGTCAAGCTTTTTGCAGATTAATATTGTATCCCAGAACCACTTTCATTGTATTTGGTATCCATTTACTGAGTACCATGACTTTCCAAAAAGCAGGTAGTCAAAGTGAAAGTAAAGGGGAAAACATGGAATTCTATCTAGCACTGGTCATTTCAGTATCTAGCCACCAATCAATTCAGTCTCCTTTTTTCACGCTACTTTCTAATGTCCCTGTACTCACAGGTGGAGTCAGTTCAGAGAACTAGTGGATAGGAAGAAGGATGCTCTTCTCTCTGCCCTAAGCATCCAGAACTACCACCTTGAGTGCAATGAAACCAAATCCTGGATTCGGGAAAAGACCAAAGTTATTGAGTCTACCCAGGACCTGGGCAACGACCTGGCTGGCGTCATGGCCTTGCAGCGCAAGCTGACTGGCATGGAGCGGGATCTGGTAGCCATTGAGGCAAAGCTGAGCGACCTACAGAAGGAAGCAGAGAAGCTAGAGTCCGAGCACCCTGACCAGGCTCAGGCCATCCTGTCCCGGCTGGCTGAGATCAGCGACGTGTGGGAGGAGATGAAGACCACCCTGAAGAACAGAGAGGCCTCCCTGGGAGAAGCTAGTAAGCTGCAACAGTTTCTGCGGGACTTGGACGACTTCCAGTCCTGGCTCTCCAGGACACAGACAGCCATTGCCTCGGAGGACATGCCCAACACCCTGACAGAGGCAGAGAAACTTCTCACGCAGCATGAAAACATCAAAAATGAAATTGACAACTACGAAGAGGACTACCAGAAGATGAGGGACATGGGTGAGATGGTCACCCAGGGCCAGACGGATGCCCAGTACATGTTTCTCCGGCAGCGGCTACAGGCCTTGGACACTGGATGGAATGAGCTCCACAAAATGTGGGAGAACAGGCAGAATCTCCTCTCTCAGTCACATGCCTATCAGCAGTTCCTTAGGGACACGAAGCAAGCTGAAGCCTTTCTTAACAACCAGGTAACAAAATCACCATAGCCTCTGCTTCCGTCTTGGCTGCCCTCTGAAACCTTTTGGCAGGGCATCTGGTTTAAGCCACACCTGTATGAAATTAGATAGCTAATTTAGAGCTAGATTTTCCCTGACTAGAAAATATTATGAGATTGAAATCCATCCCAGTGTATAGTACAGGACTTAAGATTTCTGAAGGACGCTGTCTTTCCTTGTTAAGTATAGTTCCATTTCAGGTACAGTCTTAGGGTATCTCTTAGGGTATGACCCTAAGAGATCTCTTAGGGTATGTCCTCAAAGTATCTCATTGAATTGGTAGCATTCTGCAAAGTGTTAGTGTAATTTAAAGAGTTCAGTGAGGCTTGTTTTATTTTTCATTTTTTTTTTTAACTGAAGGGCTCTTTCTTAATCTAGAAGAATCAAGGACTTCACCCAAGGACACAAGACAGCAATTAGAGAATGAAAAACAACTGAGGATGGTCACCAGTATCAGGGCTGTAGATCTCTCTTCTAAGAGAGAATAAAGAGAATGCTGCAGTTGCCTCGATGAGTTGAGGACCCTGATTGCTAGCTCAGGGAGCTTTGGTTACTTTCCTTACTTTGGGTGGAAAATAAATGTAGCACATTGAACCACCTAGGGAATTTGGTCACTTATGGTATACCACTGGGATTTTTTGCCTCCCAACATTTAATTTTATTTGACTCAGTAGATTATTGCATTTAAGTCCAATGAAGCAAGAGCTTTGCAATGTGGTACATGGAAATTTGGAACATAGAAAGAAGAGGTCTTTCATTAATATGTCATCCTGCCATGATTTTTTTTTTCTCTTGTAAAATAAGGAGTATGTTTTAGCTCATACTGAAATGCCCACCACCCTGGAAGGTGCTGAAGCAGCTATTAAAAAACAAGAGGACTTCATGACCACCATGGATGCCAATGAGGAGAAGATCAATGCTGTTGTGGAGACGGGCCGGAGGCTGGTGAGCGATGGGAACATCAACTCAGATCGCATCCAGGAGAAAGTGGACTCTATTGATGACAGGTACAATTTTCTGAGATTCTAAAGGGAATCTTACATCATGGGACTCCTGAGCTATGGATCAGTGGCCAAGAGTCTTTGGGCTGTGGATATAAGTTTCCCAGTGGGCAGAATATAGCCACCTAGCAAAATTTCATCTACCCATACAGCACATAACTGCCTCTGAATGTGGTTCTTCTAAAACACATACAGGTGTCTACAAAAGGTAAGCCTAAGAAGCCAAGCTAATTTCAGCCAAAAGTCTGACAGAGCTATAGTGTAGAGTCATGGTCAGGTTAAGTCATGCTCTTCAAGAGCTGACATACTGCTTGTTACCCAACGAGAACCAGACTTTTCCCAGCATAGGCCACAGTCACCTTTATCCACTTTATCACTTGTCTGATGCCAGTTTTATCCACTTTATCACTTGTCTGATGCCAGTTAGGAGAAAGGAAGTGAGGGTGAGGTTTGCTTGTGCTGAGTATCTGGCAGGGCCACAGAGGAACATTATCTCGCGTACCTTAAAATGGGTTTGGATAATGGTGTAATAGGATCTTTTTCATGATGAGAGAAGAGGCCATTCTCTTTGGTCAGGACATCTCTAGGACTGGGTGCTCTTTATTCATTTGCATTATTTTTTTCTTTTCTGAGAGATTTCCTCCCTGTCTTAAAAGCTAGTGTACTCCATTTGACCCCTGTTTGTCTAATCCTAACTCTCACCCTACCCAGATCAAAATTTGTATGTATCAGTACAGGCTGGTTCTGAGCCATCCAGTTCAGTCCTAGACTGGCCCATCTGGATTAGTCACTCTCCTGTGTTCCAGCCAACCCTCTTGTCCCAGTTTAGGCCAGATTCAAGGGTTTATTTGAGACTGACATCAAGACTTCTGTGGCTTTGGTGTTCAGTTCAGGAGGGAAAAGTGTTCTCTTGCTTACCACATCTGAAAGGGTCTCCTAGGACTCTGGACCATGTCATCTTAAAATAAGATGTGAGGAAGAAAGGCAAGTCCCATACATTTTGAGCTCCTAGAATTAGTATTTCTGGTCTCTGTACCAATTGAGAACCTAAGCCTTACATTTTAAGAGTGACTATAGAATAAGATATAACTTTTATTAATTATAATTTTATATTTTTTTATTTTAAAACAGCTACAATAAATAAAGCAATTCCTCCACTAAAGCCTTCCTCTTGTTTTTTTGTTTGTTTGTTTGTTTGTTTTTTGTGGTGCTGGGGATTGAACCCAGGACTTTGTGCATGCAAGGCAAGCACCCTATTAACTGAGCTATATACCCAGCCCCAAAGCCTTCTTAAATGAGTGTAAGAAGCTAGAATTGAGCTATTCTTAACCTAGAGAAAAACAATTTTACTTTTTCTTAATGTTAATTCCGTCATTGTTTTATAAATGTGGTACCTCTTGTTTCCTCACTGATAGATGCACACAGTTGGTTTCCTCAAGCCAGGGTTGGCCCTTAGACACATACATTCAGACAGAAGTGCAGCTGCCGTGCTACTTCCTGGGTTTATTTATGTGTCCCCCAGTGCTGCAGCTGCACAGGCATATTGGGAACAGGTGGGGCCGTCAAGACCTGTGCCTCCTGGGTTCAAGAGAGCATTAGCAGTCTTCCCTTGTGGCTTACCCTTACTTTTGCCCTTGACTGAGAGCCTAGGCTCCTGGAGTTCCAGAACTTCCTTAAGACTTCTCAATTAAAAAAAAAAAATGGAAAGAGGATCCTGTATTATCGATAAACATGAGAAAGATGCAAGTAGAGGGGCTTTCCATTGATTTTCCCTCTATAACTACAATTTCTTACCTTAACTGAATTCTAGTTTCATTTTAATATCCACGGAGGCCTCAAGATTTGAACTAACCCTAGAGGATTTTTGTCTATTACAAAAAAATACAAAGATGTGAGTTCCAGGTGTTGTAGGTGCATAATCCAACTAAATATCCTAAATGACCTTAGAGCTAATTCTCTTATCCAGAAACAGGCTGATGCTGTAGTAAAGTTGTTCTTGTAGGTATAAAGTGATTATAATGTGTTCATATTCAGGAAATCCCAGCAGTTACAGAGTTAGTTTGTTGAGCAAAGTACCACAACAAAGACTGGCCCTAACATACGTGGGTGGGGCACACGTGGTCTTCAGAGTGTCTGAGACTGGGTGGAAACCATCCTGCTCCCCAGCAGCCTGCCTGTAAACTGGAAAAGGATCCTCTCAGCTAAATGGAAAATTTCAGCCACAGTACAGTCCTAGTAGAGACAAGACTTATATCCAGCTTCATAAAGCACAGTCTTATCTTAAAAAGGGAAAAAATGCCCACAATTACCAAACTATTTGACTCTGGCATCTGAGATTCTTTACTCTTCAGAGAAAGCTGAGTTACACACAGCATCTGCTTTGTGTGCTTCATGTCATAAGGGAGCTCTGAGTCTTGTTATGGGGGCAGGAAGTGAGAAATGGAAATAAAGCCAGAGAACCTTGCTCCAAGAGCACTCTTAGGACTGTGGAAACTACAGCCATGTTTTAGAAGGTCCTTCATGGATCCTCCTGGTAATGGAATCCATGACCCAACTTTGAGAGGATTTCTAGGTCTTCCTTCCCATGAGGGCCATCATTTGCTGCTGGGAACTTGTTCGGCCACACTCACTTCTTTCCAGTGTTACTCTGAGACAGCCACAGCAACAGCCTCAGCTGCCTTCATTGCTGTTTGACCCCTCAGAACACACCATGCAAAGGCCATCAGCACACCTGACGCCGGAGTAGTGTCATTTGGACTCTTTAAGTTACCAGCCTCCTTTTCCCCTTTTTAATAGTCTGTTTGCTGGGGTTTTTTGTTGTAGTTGTTTTGTTTTTAATTCTTTTTTAGTTGGAGGTGGAGAACAATACCTTTATTTTATTTATTCATTTTATGTGGTGCTGAGGATAAAACCTAGTGTCTCTACCACTGAGCCATAATCTCAGCCCCTATAGTCCTGGTCTTAGAAAAATTCCTGAGCAGAGAAATCTGCTGAGCATGCGTGAGACTTGAATGTATATCTGAGAAATACGTTCAGATTCTGTCTAGTTGTATTTCTCCCTTAAGGAATGTTTTAAACAGAGTCCAAAGTTGTTTTTGTTCCCATTATTTCTACGAGTGTCAAGGGTTCATGTCCTGTGGGAATACTAGTGTTTTGTGAGTCTTCCTTGCCACTGTAGTACTTGTGTGAGTTGTCATGCCGAAGGAAATGGAATCTCTTATTCAAGGCCTTTGACTTAAACATCAAAAGCGGGATCCTGCATTTGGTCACTAGCTCCAACACAGATTACCTCCCTTCTGAAGATTTGCTGTATTTGCTTAAACTCCCCCAGAGAGGCAGTAAATTAAAAAATCCAACAAGTGTCTAAAATTTTGAGGGGGAACTACTACCCTTAATCTATGCCTTGGAGTTTTACAGCATATGGTATGTACATGTTCTTTTCAGTTAGCATCATTATAATAAGTATTTTTCCATGCTTGCATTTTCTATAAAGGGCATGGGCATGTTAAGATTACCTTTCCTAAAGCTATGGTACCCCTTTCAGCTTACACAAAAGCATTTTTGTGTGTGTGTATCTAACATATACATAACCATTTATAATACTCCTGCAGTTCTGCAGCCTCTAGCAACTGCAGAACACATAGCAGGAGACTTTTTCTTCTGGTTCACCCAGCAGTTGATGACTGCAGTGCCAGTACTGTTATTTGTTTCATCAGCACTTGCCAAGGGCCTGTATGACACTTGAAACCACTATATTTTCTTCTCCTGGGAAGATGTCTTCAAAGTCAGTCAGCAGCATGTGTTCCCTGAGGGGCTCTTCCTTGCTCCTGCCTTAGGGGCTATTGGGATGGGGATGGTCCTTACCCCTCCAGACACATGCAGCAAGCAACTGATTTGACAATCAGAATGAAAAGCTAAATGCCCCTCCCTGTTTGTACTATTCCCCCCCCCCTTGTCAATATCCTGCATGTAAACTAGCACTCTTGGGCAGGTTACATGGGAATGCCAGGCAAGCATGTTGGTGGTGGTGCTTCTTGATCCTCGGGGTCGGAAAGCTGCCCCCCACCCTTAAGGTCTCAGTCTTTGCGCCTGCATTCTTGTTGCTGTTCTTCACAGTTTGGGGGATCTGTGCCACTTGTGCTTAAAGGAATTTGCCAGCAAGTGTAGTATTCAGACTGGGGAGAAAGCACCTCCTTTCCCTTATTGTTCATTGAGTTTAGCAGCCTCCAAATCTTACAGGTCTTTTGTCAAAAGGTTTTGTGCTTTAACTTCTTTAAACCATAGTTACCCTAATCTATTAAAAGTGGGGTTGAGGAAATCTATAATCTCACAAGTCTAAAAAAAAATTTCATTCCTGTTTTTTTAAATTATTATTATTTTTGTTAAAAGTTTTCTCAAAATGGAAACATTTGTTACAAGCCAATTTCATGATTATATATATTTTCTTAACCTTGTTTGTGTCATCCAGGCAAGAGTTTCTTGAAGATGAGTTTCAGATTCTCCCACAGTGACTGAAATGGGAACTTGTGCACATTGCATGCTCAAATTTTTTTTTTCCCTAGTAGTGGATTTGAAAGCACCAAATTAATGCAGATCATTGGCCTTTGGTATATCTTGGAGAGATGTTTGGTCTCCCTTACACCATGGCTTACTCTTTGGAAGAATGCTAAACTCTCTTTTCATCTTGCCTCCACATACTTGAGAACCGTAAACAAACTCTTTTCAGCATATATAGAAACCCTGGAAAGAAACTGGCTTACAGATTCTGTATTTATTTTTAAAAGATTATTTTTGTTATTATTTTAATAGACATAGGAAGAATCGTGAGGCAGCCAGTGAACTCCTGATGAGATTAAAGGACAACAGGGATCTTCAGAAATTCCTGCAAGATTGTCAAGAGGTATGTTGATTTTTAGTCCCTCCTTTCCAGGTGTTCAATAGCCAACCAACATTTAATCAAAATCTCCTTGATAATGAGGCTAGAAATTCCTATCACCCGTTTGATTTGTAGGTGGAAAGATATGGCACTTTAGTTTCCAAACTATAAACTATCTGTAGGTTGATGTGTAGAGGAACTAGATTTTTGTAATCTAGAATATTATAGGACTACTTTGCCCATTACAATAGCCACCAGTCATATGTGGCTCTTTTAGTCAAAATTAAGAACATACTTCCATCAGCTATACTTCAAGTGCTTAGTTGTTAAATGTGATCAGTGGCTACTATATCAGACCACATAGACATGGAGCCTTAACCATCATTGTTGAAGGTTTTATTGGTCAGTGACATAACCTGAAAGCATTTCATCATTTTGTGTAGGTGTAAACTCTTTAAAGCAAGGTGTACATTTAAATGGTATGGAGGAAAAAACTGATGGGAGCTGAAGTTGGCTTCCAAGTAAAAAGCAAAGATTTAAAAGCTACAAATTAGATTTCTTACTGGATTTGTGTTCCTAAAGTATTCATCTTTTAGACTCCTTAGATATGTGTCTAACATACCAAGAGGAGTAATCCTGATTTCCATCACCAAGTTTTAACATGTGATATTACTCTGATGATTCTCCTACTATTTTATGCTCCCATGATACATGCCTAAACAAACTTTGAAAACTAAAGTTGGCCAGAAAAATGTAGTCTTTCTGCAGGCTGGTTGGAGAAAAGCATCTAGCTGACTCCACAGGTGTGAGCTCATGAGCACATCATGCTTGTCTGTCAGCTAAAGAACAGTAAACAGTTCTCTCTGGTTTACTAGACTAAATACCCTTTAAGGGTATTTAGCATAAGGAACATCTACATGAAAAGACCTTGAGGATAAAGGGGTGGGAGCAAGATCAGGACATGTGCTGAGAATATAGCTCACAATACTTTGCATGCAAATGTGTGTTTGTGTGCTGAAAGAAATACAGCTCTAATGATGGCTATATTAGATCTTTTGTGACAGAAGTCATCCTTTATGTCCATTGAAGTGCTAATTGTAATACGCTATAACTGCTAAACCTTAAGAAGGAAAGTTCCTAAACTATGTAGCTTAGGATCTGTCAGCTTATCCACCACATTTCTGGGGGATTTAACTGGAGCAGGTAGGCTCAAGACAGGAGTTCTTCTCAGTGCCATGTGAGCATGAATAATGCATGTGAATAGCATGTTCACTTAAGGAAACACTTATGTCCCGAGATGGCCTAGAGGAGAGCAGTGGAATCAGAGGTGAGCTGTGGAGCATGCCTGGTGAGCTCCAGTGAGCCCTTCACATGGAGGGAGACAGAGGGACAGGGCACTTTGCAGACTGGCTGAGCAGTGCCCTCCACAGATTGCCATTCCCTGTATCACCCTGATTTTTCTCTTGAAGCACCATCAGTGATGCATTTTAACCTACGAGCTGCCACTTAGAGGCCATGTTCCTTTGGAGGAGGAGAGATCAGTGGGATCCTTGTTTCTGCTTTGAAATGCAAGTTAGTAAGATGAAATTCATTCACCTAACTGTGCTAAAACCCAGGATTAATTTGAGAAGATAATGCCCAAGAATGAGTAGATGAAACCTGTTTGTATTTGAAATTTCCAGTCTTCCATTTCCCACCCACATAGGTTACAGATTCATAAATAGAAATATGTGGGAAAAGTTAGCAGATAAATTGATAGTTCTTCCCAGTGCAATCATGGGAAATGGTCAGTAGGTCTTTAGATCTTTGTTTCTACTTGGTCTCAGTTAGGATCTTTGGTTACAAATGTTCATTCCTTAACACTCTCCTCTGTAGAATTCCAGAGATGATAACTATGGGGCATGCCTGCGGGCACTGAGTCCTGCCTGACTTCTTCCCAAAGTATGCCAGAAAGTTTGGGCTGTGCTTTTTTGTATCTGGGAGCTAATTTACAGATCTCCTATGGTCTGCCCGTCTCTTCATGAGCCTCCTTAAAATTTAATACAACCCTGATATCTGCTGGTAATGTGGGGTGTCCCGTGCCAGCATATAAAGTCTGAAGTGAGCTGTGAAAAGTGCATGTTATGCTGCACTAAGCACTAGTTGGCCCTTCAGTGGAGGGAGTCAGTTGGATGAGGTAGTTGCAGGCTCAGCTTTGGGAACTTCAAAACCCTTGGTAGAAAAATAACAAAGCGGTGATATATATTACTCCGACTAAACTTTCCATCATTCATCCTCAATAAAACATGTCCTTTTTGAGCCGGAATCTCTGAGAGTGGAGTTTGTATAGATAGGCCCTACATTTGAAAACCTACCTATTATGCTGGCATAAGTTATTTGACATAGCACCCACAGGTCAGATTTTAATGACATTCCTGGCTGTTGGTGTTGTTCGAGATCCTGGGAATTCAGAGGTTTGACTCTTCCTCCTGAGTGCCTTGGCTGGAAGAGGCATGGATTGTGAGATCTGTACTTGTTGCCCCCCCCATGAACACCGTCTGAACAGGGGCAGCTGTTGCACTTGTGCTGCAGTGAGAGTGAGTAGGGACCCATGCCTTTGTTCCCATTTACAGATGGGAATGCAAAGAGCAACTTAATTTTGTAGTGTTATTTTAGTGAGATGTCCTAAAAAAAAAAAATGGATGACTGATTTACAAGTTTATTGCTTTCTTATTTTATTCTCTCACACCATGAGCACCTCCTATTTTCTGAAACTGATGATTTTGGGGGAGGAGAGCATACCTAGATGTGTCTGGCACAGAGATGTGAGTGTAGTGATTTATTTTTGGCTTAAATCAATAATTAATGCATTTTTCTTATATCTTTTTCCAGTCTGCACAGTTTTGTTTTGTTTTTTCCCCCTGCAGAGAATGGGTATATTCTTAAATGACCTTTGTAAATGTCCAAAAATACTGACTGTGGCTCTGGATCCTGAGGGCTGATGAAGGGCTGATGAACTGGCAAGTTCCATAGACCCATTGCATTGTGCTGTATCGCACGATATTTTATCTGTAGGATGATGTGTTCAGCAAAGAGCAGATTAGTTTATAAGCCTCTGATTTTATGTAGTGCGCACGTGCTCGCTCTCCCTCCCTCCCTCTCTTAATCTCTCTTAGGTAGGTGGTTATGAATAGCGAAAATATGTGAATGTTCTTAGCACTTTGAATAAATAAATGCCTTCTATTGTGTGAAATCTCTCTGTTATTCCTTTTATCCTTTTTCCATCTTAGATTGAATGACCATGGTATTTCAGATTTTAGCCACTAACATAACTGGTAATTAAAGTGAGAAATTTAGTGTCTTTGTTGTGTGATCGATGATCTGATTACAGAGGACTTTGTGAGGTTTACTAGTTTTTCCTTCAATAGAATGACATCAGAGGTCTTGCTTCCTTTTACTTTGAACCTTGCCCCCTGCAGTTCTCCTTCAAGGTGAATAGCCTGAGAAAGGTAGGGCCAGTGCCTGAGTTTACCCACTGTCACTGGCCAGGAGGGTTCCCTATGGCCAGCCTTGCCCTCCATGACATTTCTAAAGAATAGACCTTCTGGTATTGCAGTGAATTTGTGGGGAAGTCTTTCCCAGCAGTGGCCAGAGTGAAAACAAGTGGCCTTGGGCATGTTGATTCCATAAGGGTTTCTGTTGGTTTTATCCATCATTTCTAGACCTTGGGAGGTAAATGAAGATGTTCATGTATAAACATGTAACAGATACTGGCGTAAAAGTGGGCTTCTCGCAGTCTCCCAGGAGAAGAGACAGGGTTCTGAAGACACTTACTGCTTATCTGAGTGACTCCATGTTTCTTTGTGATCTCCTGCCTGATAAAACAAAATAGGGAGAGTATTCCCTAAACTGAGGCTCTGAATGGGGTAGAAGTTAGGTCTCTGTCCTGGTCATTTGTCAGCAGGCAATAAGGAGCAGGGACTGAATCGGCAGCAGAGATGTGAATTGGAGCCTGGTATATTTAAACCTCCTAAGAATGCCCTTCAGTTTGCTAGTGGCTGACAGCTTTGCATGGATTTCAAAGGCTTTATTCCAAGTTGACATGCTGGTTCTCAGAATCAAGTCCTTTGGAGTGTTCTTTGTCTGAATAAAAGTTCCTTAGTGAACTAGAGGCTATAGAAGAGGTGAAGGTGACTCAGATATGAAGGAAACGGGGCATCACTATTACCTTAGCCCTATAGTGAGCAAGTCCCTCATGTTTTTTGGCATTTCCACACATGCACTGATGAAGCAGGGTGGGTGGGTAAGTAGTAGGCTAGTGTTTTGTTTTTAGTTCTCATAGAAAGAACTAAAAGAATGAGATGGCCAAATGAAATAAAAGACAGTCAATCATGACGAATATGGTATAGCTGATAAGGTATTCAGAAGAGAAAAAAGGCTGTGATTCAGAGTGGTTAGAGCACAATTGTAAACCCAAGCCTTTGGGGGAAAGCTTGTTGCCAGACAATTTAAAAGCCAGCTCAGGGGTTTTATACTTCTGGATTTAATATTAGATGGACAGTTTAGAACAGGTACAAATGCCTGATAATGATGCCTGTCATGACATATAGGAGGTGTGATGTTGAATATTTGATTGGCTGTTGACATGGAAAAATGCAATATGCACACTATGACAGAAACACAACCCTCTCTAGTCAGCAAAGAAGGCTGATGCCTATGATTACGGTCTCTGAAACCTTCCTGATGTTTTCCCTAGCTGTCCCTCTGGATCAATGAAAAGATGCTTACAGCCCAGGACATGTCCTATGATGAAGCCAGGAATCTGCACAGTAAATGGCTAAAACATCAAGCCTTCATGGCAGAACTTGCATCCAACAAAGAATGGCTTGACAAGATTGAGAAGGTAAGTTAAGCCATTTCCACATTGTGGCTGTGGTGAGAAGAATAATTGGGAGGAAGCACACTCCATTTCATTTAGAACCTTTTCCAGCATATTTGAGTTCTAACTAATCATTTACAAGTTATGCAGCATGTGGCAGTCCCTCTTACACTTGAGGGGAGAAAACAGCCAGGTGGTACTAAATGCTTGATTTCTCCTCTAGCAAATACTAGGCATTTAGTCTCTATTGTGCATCTCATCTGCTGCTGCTGATGAACTGTGAACCCTGTGCAGTACCCATTGTCTTGATCATTTTGTTGTTTTGTACTGTGACCAGTTATCAGGTACAGTTGCATGGAATTTTCCCTATTTTGCTTCTGTAACTACTAAAAATCAGGCACTATGTTAATTGCCACAGTGGATATTTTCTGCATAGGGAGATTCTGTGTGTCTTAACTGAGCAGTGTGAGTTTCCCATATTCCTTTCTCTCCCTTCAAACTTTTATACTGTGTCATTCTCTTTTTAGGGTTAAAATAATGTGTGTGGTATTTTGAGCATGGAGTGGAGGGGATTGAGTCTTAAGTTGTTAACATTAAATGTCTTATCGACACAGTTGAAATTATTTCAGCATGCGCTACATGTTGCTCAGCTCCCACAAAACCTATGTGGTATGTGGAAGAAGCCGTTGTTGATTTTAGTGAGCAGAATGAGTGTGTGTATGAGTGTTGAATGAATGGGTAGATCAAAGATCACGTGTCTCTTTGGTTTGTTTATCACAGTGACATTTACTCTCTAGCTAACTATATTTATTTATAACCATGCTGGTTTGTGTTTTCCAGGAAGGAATGCAGCTCATATCAGAAAAGCCTGAGACTGAAGCTGTGGTGAAGGAGAAACTCACTGGTTTACATAAAATGTGGGAAGTCCTTGAATCCACCACTCAGACCAAGGCCCAGCGGCTCTTTGATGCAAACAAGGCTGAACTTTTCACCCAGAGCTGTGCAGATCTAGATAAATGGCTTCATGGCCTGGAGAGTCAGATTCAATCTGATGACTATGGCAAAGACCTTACCAGCGTCAATATCCTGCTGAAAAAACAACAGGCAAGTGGATAAGGCAGCCACATACCTAGGCCTGCAACTGTTTTACAGTCTTGTTCTTATCAGTCTTACTTGTCCTCCATGTTTTCAGCCTTCTACTACTAGGTTGAAGGGATTTTTATACCAGCAGTGCTTGCTCTAATAGCATTCTGGGGAGTTTCCAGAATCAATAGAAATGACACAGTGTTGGTAGAAGTGCTAGGTGTCTATACATAGGAACACTCTTTTAAAAATCTTCTTATTTAATTGATGTTGTCTACATTTAATAGTCAAGCAAATATTCAGTTCATTCTGAATATGATGTGAATGAAAATAACCGTATTTTCTTTCTTTGCTGGATAATATCTGGATATATGACAGTTTTTGTTCAAGGTACTTTATAGGTAATAAAACAAATCTCAAGTTTTTTACATTACAATAGAAGGCCCTGAGGACAAATGAATTTACCTTAAATTAATGGGAAAAAGTTGCATTGAGGTTAAGAAAGCAGTTAGTGGCAAGATCTTCCACTGGCTTCTCTGACTGGCTTTATAGCATGTATGAGTTCTAGGCCCAGCAGTTTCATTTAAAATAGATAAATGAACAGTCACAAGATAGTTATGGCCAACTACTGAGGCTGGCTTCTTCATCCAGAGTAGTATTCAGCCTTTTGCTAAGTGGTTGATTAATTGACCCTTCGATAACCACATAAAGGGATTTTTTTTTCCAAAGGTAGCTTTTAGTCATAGCTATTTATCTCCTTGGCCTTTGGAGGCTTTGGGGGCCAGGGATTTCAGTCATTCCTAGGCATGGATCCCTTGTCTCTAAACTGTCCATATATCGGTGTCATAGTTCCTGAGGCAGACACCTCTGCTTTCACTTTTGCCCATTTTCTTTGTTTAAGTCAACAATTAGTATGTGTCAGTTTTCTGATTAGAGAAATGGAAGAAGATAATATTATCTTTCCATTTACGTAAACTGGAACCTCAAGACATTTAGTCCTTTCTGATGATGAAACTATCCTTTCCCATAATTAATTTCATCTCCCCTGTCATTCCTTCCCCAAATTCCTAAATAAATTTAAACATTACTATAAGCTTTAAAGTCCTAGGAAGGGATATTCTGAACATTATCTGAGAAGTTGGAGTATGAGTTGGTCATTTAATCGATATATGAACCATTTCTTAGGTTTTCCGCTATGTAAGTTTATATTTTTCAATATTCCACTTGGACCAGTGCCTAAAACAAACATTTCATAGGAGGACCATGTTTCCTATGTGTTTCTCCTGGCTCTGATGTGAAGGTCTCTCTGTCTTAAACCCTCAGATGCTGGAAAATCAGATGGAGGTGCGGAAGAAGGAGATTGAGGAGCTCCAGAGCCAAGCCCAGGCATTGAGTCAGGAGGGGAAAAGCACCGATGAGGTGGACAGCAAGCGTCTCACTGTACAGACCAAGTTTATGGAGCTGCTGGAACCCTTGAACGAAAGGAAGCATAACCTGCTGGCCTCCAAAGAGATCCATCAGTTCAACCGGGATGTGGAGGATGAGATCGTGAGTAGACTCTCACTGCACTAGAGGCTTCTCCACAAACAGCCTTGTCTGTCCCAAAGCCCATGTTCTCACTCCTCTTTGGTGCTTACCTTGGGCCACATCTGTGAGCTCTTGCAGCCCACGCTGTTTATGTTCTAGGGATTCTTCCTCTCCTACACAAAGTATTCTCCTTGATTTTCTAAAGATACTCCAAGATTTTAATTCCTCTTAGAACAGTGCTTTTAAAAATAACCAGGGAGACTCACAATTACTCTTACATTGAGGATGAAGTGAAGTTTGGAAAACTTAACTCTCACCACATGTCCAAGAAGGGTATGTGTCCTTTGGCAGGCCCCTTTGAAGGGAGCTGGCCTCTGCCATCCTTGCTACCCTTGGAACATATACATGTTCCTCTGCATGGTCCTAACCACTTAAATTTCTCTCTAGTTGTGGGTTGGCGAGAGGATGCCTTTGGCAACTTCCACAGATCATGGCCACAACCTCCAGACTGTGCAGCTGTTAATAAAGAAAAATCAGGTAAGCATCTCTACTCGGGCTAGTGCAGTCTGAGAAATAGTCACTCCCAAACACAGAAAAAGCAAGAGAGCTTTCAAGGCTTATGATTCTGCCTTGACTCTGAGATGACATAAACACCAGGCTGTGGCCATTTATCAAGGCTCTGTGTGTGTTTCCTCTTCCCACACAGACCCTCCAGAAAGAAATCCAGGGGCACCAGCCTCGAATCGATGACATCTTTGAGAGGAGCCAAAACATAGTCACCGACAGCAGCAGCCTCAATGCTGAGGCCATCAGACAGAGGCTCGCTGACCTAAAGCAGCTATGGGGCCAACTTATTGAGGAGACAGAGAAACGCCACAGGCGGCTGGAGGAAGCGCACAAGGCGCAGCAGTATTACTTTGATGCAGCTGAGGCTGAGGCATGGATGAGCGAGCAGGAGCTGTACATGATGTCTGAGGAAAAGGCCAAGGTGAGCGAGCATCCCCACCTTCCATTAGAGGAAGCAGGAAGCAGCCCCAGAGGAGCCTCCAACTCAGACCCTGACCTTCCTTTTTGCTGGTGGCTGTGTCTTTGTGAAACCTTTTACCTGCTGTCTTGGAATGTAAAGGGGGCATCATGGTTCACAAAGGTATCTAAAATCAGGCTTGTTTCCCCTTGACACAACATTTTTTTGCCTAAAATCCTGGTATGCCATTAAGATTTGTCCTGTCACCTTTTTTTTTTTTTTTTTTTAATATACGAATTTGTTAGAGTCCTATATAGGGTTTCCTAGAACCTTACAACATGACTTTGAGACCTTCTCAAAGTATTTTAGTATTCCAGAAATATTGTCATTAACATTCCTGATAATCTATAGAATTTCAACTACCCAAAATGCACTTGGCCTACCAGACTACTCTCCATACCTCACCAGGGGTCTTAGTCCCTCTGCATCTCCACTTCACCATTGGCAGAGACCTCCTTTGGTCATATTGATGCTCTCAGAATGTGTTCAGAAGCTGTCCATCACGTTTCTGGTGTTTTTCTTTCTGACAATTCTTTTGCCCCACTGTGCAGTTAGTCTGTCATTCCTCACAAACTGTTAACAGGCCAGAAGGAATGACTATGGTTTTGACAGACCCTCTCTTTGCAGGATGAGCAGAGTGCTGTCTCCATGTTGAAGAAACACCAAATCTTGGAACAAGCTGTGGAGGACTATGCAGAGACAGTACACCAGCTCTCCAAGACCAGTCGGGCCCTAGTGGCCGACAGCCACCCTGAAAGGTGAGTGCCACGTTGTAAGGATGAGATGTGGTTGTAGATTCTTTGGCTTAGGTCCATTACTACCCCACTCAAAAAGAAAAATGGCAATATTCACCTTAAGTCAGTAGTAAAGCAGATCTAAGGTTAAACATTTCTAAAAGAGACCCTATAATTGGAGGTAAGTAGGAAAAGTGAACTGTTATATTCGAACATTACCCTTTTGATTAAATATCTTCCGTTAGCAAAGACCCCATTGGAAGATTATTGATCTTGTGAGTCAAAAAAGCACAGGTCGACTTGCACGGGCATAGTAATCAGATCATTTACCCTAGAATTTAAAAAATTATCCAGTTTAGGAGAGCAATTATTAGTTTTAAGGGGAATGGTAAATGAGAATACATGGACCTGTAAAATAAAAGGGCTCCCAGAAAGAACAAAACGATTTCAGCTCTTAGCTCTAATAGATTGAGTTCTCAGAATGCTTTAAGGAAAGAAGCAGGTTAGGGTGTAGTACTCACTGGCTGTATACATGGCCCCCATGCTAACTTCCAGAGCAAGCATTGTAAGCTTTCTGTGTAACTGCTTTTTGTGACTGAGAAAGGAAAGGAATCAGCTCTGTGTGTTTAACCAAGGCAGGTTGAGTAAGATGGGAGGTCAATGGCTGTGTTGGTGTATGAGGTCCTTAAGGTGTACATGATCACATTGCCAAGGAAGTAGCTCTCCTGGTCTCCAGGGACAGGCACCAGCAAGACTTTGTCTGTGGTATCCTGTTATGAGATTGTCATTCTGGGGAGAAATAAGAAGGATGATAATTTGTCCTCCTTACTGCACACTCAGAAACCCAAGAAATGAGCAACAAGAGCCATCCTTCCTAGCAGGGAAGAGTGCATGGCCCAAAGGTAGAAACCAATGCACAACTGACAGGTTTGCCCCTCTGGCAGCATGGCACCTGGAATGGATGATGACTCCAATATTTTGTGTTAACTTTTCACGTCAAAGGAAATCCTGACTTGCAGAGCCAGTATACATAATTAGGGCCCCTTCCCCCAAATCATCATATTCTAGATGGTCTTTAGCCTTAATTGTTGTGTTTGGTTTACATATTAGCTCTTCATCATTCAAAATCAAGGTCAGATTTTAGAGGTTAAATAGGCTGACCAGAAGCTTCCTTGGAGAAATTTGAGATTGTATACTCTCCTGTTATCTCTACCTCATTCTTTTTTTCTTTGTGGAAAGTTGACATTTAAGGTCTCTTCCCTCCACTCCCTCAGTGAGCGCATTAGCATGCGGCAGTCCAAAGTGGATAAGCTGTATGCTGGCCTTAAGGACCTGGCAGAGGAGAGGAGAGGCAAGCTGGACGAAAGGCACAGGTTGTTCCAGCTCAACCGGGAGGTAGATGACCTGGAACAGTGGATCGCCGAAAGGGAGGTGGTCGCAGGGTCCCATGAGCTGGGACAAGACTATGAGCATGTCACAGTAAGTAACTTTGGGCAGAGAGTGAATGGTCATTCAGTGAGTGTTGTGGGAGCCCTTTGGCCCTGGACTTTGAATCAGGCAAGAGGGTTCAGTTTCAACTTGGATTTCTTATCAGGTAATTTTGACTTCAGTTGGCCAGTCTGTGCCTTGCTCCTCCAGTAATTTCAGGAGACAAGGCAGCACTTTACTTTGCTGCAATGAGCAAGGAGACCTCATAAGAGGTTTTGGAGCTAAGATCTGTTGTTCTTAAATCATGTGTATTACTTGTTGCCTCCTGTTTAGAGGCAGTCTCTTCCCAGATGACATTCATGTGATCAAGAAGTAAAATGTGTACAATGGTCTCACTGATTTCTTTACACGCATCCCCATTTCAGATGTTGCAAGAACGATTCCGGGAATTTGCTCGAGACACTGGGAACATTGGGCAGGAGCGTGTGGACACGGTCAATCACATGGCTGATGAACTCATCAACTCTGGACATTCAGATGCTGCCACCATTGCTGAGTGGAAGGACGGCCTCAATGAAGCCTGGGCTGACCTCCTGGAGCTCATTGATACGAGGACACAGATTCTTGCTGCCTCCTATGAACTGCATAAGTTTTACCATGATGCCAAGGAAATCTTTGGGCGCATCCAGGATAAACATAAGAAACTCCCTGAGGAGCTTGGGAGAGATCAGAACACTGTGGAGACCTTGCAGAGAATGCACACCACCTTTGAACATGACATCCAGGCTCTGGGCACTCAGGTGGGTGGGGAACTTCCCAGGAGAAGGAGGAGGTTTCTTTTTACAGTGTCTTTGTGCATCTCTGAGTGTCTCTGTTCTTTGGCTCCTCAAAACACGCCTGAGAGGATTGCCCAAATCAAACACACATGTGTGTGGGCACACACTGTTATAGTGCTCCATTTGGGAGAGCTTTTCAGTCCATAAAATTCTAAGTTTGCCACATTTGTAAACAATTGGTAGATGGTTAAAATAAATAAATAAACCATATGCACACACAAACATTTGCAAGTTATAGGCCTCCCTAAGACCTCACTTAGAGCAATTTCCAAAACAATACCTTATTATTTTCCATCAGTCATCCTAAAAGAGAAAAAGCAGGATTCTAACAGTTTGATATGCTTGGTCTTTTTACCCCTCAGTATAAAGTGGCTGGTAAGCACTCAGAGTTTGTTTTAAAGATGTTTGATGAAGCAATAACAATATAACAGTGCAATAACAATATTACAGTAAGAATCTAGTATAATCATTCTCTAGTTTCCTTTCTAATCTCTGTATAGTTTCCTGTTTAGTCTTAATGCTTTTTAGTTGAAAAAAAATATATAAGTTTCATGGTCCTAAAGAAGAAGCCAATTTTATTAGAAATATTAGTCCTGACCATGTCAGAGGTTTTATTCTTGTCTATTAGGAGTGTATTGATTATCTGGTGCAAGATTAGCAGATGTTTCCCATTAAAGGTCATATAGTAAATATTTTTGGATTCATGTGACATAATACAGTCTCTATTATAGATCCTTGTCTCTGCCATCTTAGCATAAAAAAAGCATCAGACCATGGGCTGGGACTGCAGCTCAATGGTAGAGCACTTGCCTCACGTGCATGAGGCACTGGGTTCAATCCTCAGCACCACATAAGATATTGTGTCCATCTACAACTAAAAAATATTTTTTAAAAGCCTCAGACCATGCTAAAATGAATAGTATGGCTGTGTGTACAGTAAGTCTTTGTTTAAAAAAAAATGGCTCAAATTTGGCCCCGAGAGACTAATTCAAGTGCATTGGCCTCACTGTGCTTTGGCATTTGGGGATTTATTCTTTGGAGTGACCACCTTGACTGCCATTGTCATCTTCCTTTTGAGATGATGCTTGCAAAACGTAAGAGTTCTATGGATGTTTTCTGAAAGAACAAAGCTCAGAGAAACTGAAGGATCGCCTGGAGATAGGAAACGTCTTGGCAGCAGCGAGTCCTTCTTCTGCACCTGTAAAATTATTAAGGTCCTTTGCTTTTAGGACTGTAAGAGGGTGGAGAAACCATACAGTTCCTCCCTTGTGTTTTCATTAAATCCCTTCACTTCTGAGACTTGCAGAGGTGAGGGCCAGTGGGGATCCAGTTCCATCCAGGACTGGATCTGGTAGTCTCCATCTACCTTATCTCTGCTACCCTAGGCCGTTGAGCGCTGTAAAAAGGATATGTTGACCTAGTTCAGGTTTATTACCACAGAATCATCAGCGGGTGACTCCTGCTGTTTTCTCTTATGCCAACTTGAACTACCACCATCCTCCATTCTGCATGAAACGGTATCACAAGAGGAGATGACCACTGTTGGCCTCCAGTGACTATGCAAAGCAGGAGTTGATTTTTGTGGGAATTTTCACTTGTGCTGTTCTCCACTTTTTTGTTGTAAGAGCTCACAAAAACTAATGAGAGATATAAGAGAAGGCATTTGGAAAGATGTTTAATCTTATAGGAACTTAAGTTTTCAAATAACTTTCTAGGAATTTACTCATGGTGATTTGAGTTATGTCTGAGCCATAACTCAAATATCAAAGATTATTTCCCCAAATCTCCTACAATATGGAAATCAGAACCCCATGGAAATCAAATCCCATTGATTCTTTTTTGCATCTTCTATAGAAACTTCATTTTTTTACTTATCACCACCTTAAGTCCTTTTGTGCAGTTGAGGGTCAGTAATCCACCTCCCCACAAGCCCCAGTGTTGTCCATCCCCGTCCCAAATGCACCCCCTGCCCCATGTGACATTTCTTCAGATAATTCCCTCATAGACATTGCCACACTCGTATTGTCCAGGACTGTCAGTCACACCATCTCACCAGTAAGTGATGATCAAGTATCTATTAACCCAGTGCTTATATCTTTGATTAGGCATTGTCTAATGTGGCACTGTTGGTATGTTTAAGTACTTCATATAAAATAAAACAAGGAAATATAAGATAGCCACAGTTACTAGTTTCTGTTATAAAGGCATATGCACCCTCTAGCAAAGGGAAGAAACAACCTGTTAATTGTTTTCCCCCTTTTTTGCACAAAAAGTAGAATATTATACACACCATGCATACTTTGCTTTTTCCACTTAGCCACATTCCTAGAGCACTTTTCATATGAGTGTGCAGGATCCTTCTCCCCACCCCCTCATGACTGCATAGGAGTCTCTGATAGGATGTAATAATTCTTTTAACCAATTCATTACTGATGGACCATACTTTTGATCTTTTGGTTATGTAAATAGTGCTATAGTAAATAATCAAATGTATTTAAGTTCCTAAAAATTCAAGGACAAATCAGTGTTGTTGTGTAGCATCTTTTCATGATTAAGTCCCATTTGCATTTTTCTTTTCTGAAATTTTTCATTGTGCCACTGTTTGTGTTGGTTTAAAGAAAGTTTTTTTAATTTTTGGTAATTCATCACTGAAAAGTATGTGAGTGTGTGTATTTTAATATGTTTTTATATTTATGAAATATACATAAAATATATTTTAAAAGATATTTTATATATGTATTTATGAAAATATATATATATATATAATATAAATGTGTTGGTATTAGGGATTGAACCTCAGGGACACCTTACCACTGAATCACATTCTCAGTCCTTTTTATTGAGACAGAGTCTCACTGAGTTGCTCAAGCTGGCCTGGAACTTAAAATCCTCCTGCCTCAGCCACCTGGGTTTGCTGAGATTCAGGCATGCACCACTGTGCCCAGCACAAGTACACACCTTATTGTGTTTATCAAATCATAATTCTCACCATCAGTTTCCAGATTTCACCTTCCTTGATATCAATTGGTTCTTTTAACCATGTTGTATGTGCTTTTACATATTTTTTTCAAATGTAAGTATCTTGTGGATAAAACTAACTGGAGTTATAGGTACTCTTCAGTACCATCTCACAGTAGTGGAAGGGCATTTGTAAAATGTGTTTGTTCTCCTTATGGCAGTTTCTCGTTTATGGTAACATTTATCTTTACCCTGAACAGATAATGGTTCTTATTTTTTGGAATATGGATGTGTCCCAATATACTACTTTTATATCCCAGGCAACCTTCAGAGGACTTGTCCTCAGTTTTCCTGCCTGCATTCCTGTAGCATTTGTTTCCTTATTTGTATAGAACTTAATAGTGTAGTTCAGTAGGATTATAGAATATTTGGGTTTTCGTGACTTGGGTCCCAGTAAAATTGAGAGTTTTTGGGGGGACATGGCCTATTTTTCCCTTGTGCTTCCTTTAGTATGTAAGCAGAGTGGTGAGGGAGAAGAGGGAGGGCACGATGAGAAAGTCAAATCTGACTCTTCTTTGCCCATGGCTTCACAGGTGAGGCAGCTGCAAGAGGATGCAGCCCGCCTCCAGGCAGCTTATGCAGGGGACAAGGCCGATGACATCCAGAAGCGTGAGAATGAGGTCCTGGAAGCCTGGAAGTCCCTTCTGGATGCCTGTGAGGGCCGCAGGGTACGCCTGGTGGACACAGGGGACAAATTCCGCTTTTTCAGCATGGTGCGTGACCTTATGCTCTGGATGGAGGATGTCATCCGGCAGATCGAGGCACAGGAGAAGCCAAGGTAATGCTCACAGCCACTGCTTCAGATTTTTCCCACATACCACTGCCAAGAAACAAGGACAGGCAGTGTGAGGCCTTCTAGCTTGTGCTCTACCGTACCCCCTTGGGCACAACCAGCTAACTGCCTTGTTTTTGGAATGAGATGACTTTCTGAGTTCCTTTTTCCTATATCTTTTTATTGAATTAAAAACAACTCTGTCCCTTTCCATCCACATTTCCAAAGGTGTCCCTTACCTCAATATTGGCCTTACTGATGTCATATGGTGATTAGTGTTTATTCTATGCCTTCCCTTTGTTTCATGTAAAGCAGTGAAGAAAAAAGTTCATAGATGAGCAGATACATATAACCTCCAGTTCACCCCAGGCCCCTTGTAATTGAGAATTGAACTGTGCTGCAATAGAAGAAATGTTTTCATCATTATTTATGTTGTGAAAAAGGAAGTATATTCCCTGGGTCAGGGCCAGTCGGTTTTTTTGTTGAATTCTTTAGGCACATATAAAAATACAAGGACTCTTCTTCTGAGTGTTTGGTTGTAGAGCTGGTCCTGAGTCTCACTGTTGTTACAAGTTAGCCCCAGTGACCGAGCCTGATCTTTGACTGTGAGTCAGCAATAAAAGGCCATTTAGGCCATTAGACCATTTCCTTCCAGTTATATGTTTTGAAACATTTGTTTGAAAAGCTTATTGTAAAGGAGATGTATTTATCTAATTTTAGGGATGTATCATCTGTTGAACTATTAATGAATAATCATCAAGGTATCAAAGCTGAAATTGATGCTCGTAATGACAGTTTCACCACCTGCATCGAACTGGGGAAATCCCTGCTTGCAAGAAAACACTACGCTTCTGAGGAGGTAATGCTACTGCTTTGCTTTGGGACCCTAGGACAGATGCACTGGTGTCTAGGTGTAAAATGGCTTCATCCTGGGTGTGTATGTGTCTGTGTGTATGCACTTGCATGCGTGCATGCATATACAGACACAGAAGTATGTACAGTTGTCCCTTGGTATCCATAGGGGATTCCATGGATGTTTAAGTCCTTTGTATAAAGTGGCATAGTATTTGTATATAACTTAAGCACATCCTCTTGTATACTTTAAATCATCTCCAGAAAACTTGCAGTACCTAATATGAGGTAGATGTCGTGTATATAGTCGTTATATTGTTTAAGAAATGGCAAGAGCCTGGGTATGGTGGCACATGCCTGTGATTCCAGCAATATAGAAGGCTGAGGCAGAAGGATAACAAGTTTGAGGCCACTCTCAGAAATTTAGCGAGACCCTGTCTCCAAAAAAAAAAAAAAAGGACAGAGGATGTCAGTCAGTTGTAAAGTACCTCTGGATTCAATCCCCAGAACCAAAAAGAAAGAAATAGCAAGGGAAAAAGTCCATGTGTTCTATTTAGATGCAGTTTTTTCCCAATATTTTTTATTTCTAGTTGGTCAAATTTTTTATATAGAACCTGAAGATAGAGGGCTGACTACACATATGCACACACATGCCTGTACTTACTTATATTTCAGAGCTTCTTGATTTCTTTCCTGTCTGCTTAGAATAAAATAGTTACACAAGACTCTAGGGCCAAGCCAGTAATTCCTGTGGCACAAAAGACAATTTTTGAGGATCTCAAGTTGAAAAAAGGCTTCTCTCACCCTTCTATCAGTACTCTTCTGCTTGCCCTCTCCCTCCATTGCATATCCCCTAGGACCCTTCACTCTCAGGTAGATGGTTGTAGGTTCTGGTTATGACGATGGTATTGTGTAATTGAATGATGAGTTCACTGTGTAGCTCCCTTCATAGGAATGGATGTCTTTTCAGGCCAGAGCTGTGCCCCTGTTGCTGTCCCTCTCTCGGTGAATGTGTTTGCTGCATTGAGCCCCAGAGTCCAATGGAGTCCAGTGCATTGCTGGCCTCCTCACAACAAAGCAGCTTTGAGCTGAACTCAGCCTTTCTCTCAGCCTGGTCTGGAAGATTAGCTATGCTTTTCTGTCCTCTCCCTAGACAGATAGACAGACTTAGCAGATAGTTTCCAGCTTAGTTGAAAGTCTCTTAAGAAAATAAATGTTTCTTATATAATGTGACCCATAGGTAGGGGGAAACAAAAGGGATGTAATGTGTTCTACTAAAATATCATGGGGTCTTTGTTTTCATACAGATCAAGGAAAAGTTACTGCAATTGACTGAAAAGAGAAAAGAAATGATTGACAAGTGGGAAGACCGGTGGGAGTGGTTAAGACTGAGTAAGGACATATTTCATTTATCTTTCTGCTCTTTTTGGGTATCCATGGAAAGCATGCAAGTTTATATTCCTGCTTTAATTGATGCAATGTTATCACTTACTGATTTTTGGAGTTTTGGATGCTTCTTAATGGCCTATTTCATTATTGCATGCTAAATATTATTATTTTCTAAGATATTTTGTGTGGTACATTCATTGTTTTTCACCCCATGATCTCAGAATTATCAATGGGGTTTGAGTTCTTTAGGAACAACAAATTGGAGAATACAATTCAGCATTGCTCTAGGAGAGTAGAGCTAGAAGCTCCCCAATTATCTTTAAGAAAAGTTCTCACTTCAGAGTCAATAATATGTAAAGCTGGCCTATGTCTTATATCTGGAATTTTTACTTTAAGGTTGATAACATTACAAAGTAAAGCTAACATCTGTTGAGGTGTTGTAGTGAACTAGGCATTGTTCTAAGTATTTTAAATATATATTTCTGTATTGACTGTCTTTGAGGTAAAAAATATAATCATTTTATAAAGGCATATGTGAGCCATCAGATTTATAGCCTATAGTATTAGAAATAGCATCTCATAATTATGAACACAAAGTAGTAGTCCAGTTCAGGACTGGGGATATAGCTCAGTTGGTAGAGTGCTTGCCTCATAATCCCTGGCACCACCACACACACACAAAAAAAAAAAAACCCAGTTCAAGCATTATTTGCCATACTTTGACATTCTGTGTTGGAACTTGGACTCTGTCCTTATATTGTAATGACCCCATTCATTTACCCGTGGGTTGATTTCCTAGGGGCCTTTTCTGAAAGTGTGTAGGAAATGAGGGCACAGAGCCCTTAGATAACCCACTTTGGGCCACCTTTTAGATGAGGATTTGGTTTCTAAGTTTTGAGAATTTCAGGTTAGTTTCACTCAGTTCAGCAGAACCTGTATCCCACACTGCTGTGAACTGGACACCAGGTTATGCTCGGGACACAGTGATGACAGGCATGGTCTCCACCATGAAGATCTGACAAGCCCCCTGTGCAGGGTGGCAGCTTCACTGGGTGTCAGGTGCTATCAGGGTGCTAAAAGAGAGCCAGCTTGACTCTAGAGACTGATGCTGCCTACAGGTCATCTCATACCTGACCCACCCCAGACTTTGCTACATTGATGCAATGAGAAGCAGTGTGAGCAATAGTGCAAAGCTAGTTTCTGACCCACTTCCTCACGAATGTGATGGAAGGAGTACTGTTTCCCCACTGCCAAAAACAATGAAGCACAGCAAGAACATTAGCCCACACCATCCCACCAGTCCCCACCACCTTGAAGCATCCTATATCCTCCCTACCATGGTCTGTACAAGCCCCAGCAGGGCTGAGCACTCACTATCAGGAAGCAGGGCTGAATGAGCAGATACATTCTAGAACTGTGCTGTCCAGTTTGGTAGCCACTGACCCACCTATGGCTCTTGGGAACTTGAAATGTTCTCAAATTGATGTGCAGTCAAATCTACCTTGAATTCAGACTTAAAAGAGAAAATCTCAGTAGTTTTTTGTTTGTTTGTTTGTTTGTTTGTTTTTTAAGCTGGGCATAGTGGTGCATACCTGTAATCCCAGTGATTTGAGAGGCCAAGCAAAAGGCTCACAAATTAGAGGCCAGCCTCCACAATTTAGCAAGACCCTAAGCAACTTTGCAAGACTTTGACTCAAAATAAAAATGGCTAGGGATGTGGCTCAGTGGTAAAATATCTTTGGATTCAATCCCCAGTACCAAATAATAATAGTTGTAATAATAATTGTCCTTTATAGTGATTACATGTTAAATAATATTTTTCATATATTGGGTTAAATTAACCATGCTATTAAACTTAGTCTCACATGTTTTTACTCTTACTAATGTGGCTGCTGGAGAACTTAAAAAGTTGCATGTGTGTCTCATGTTGTATTTATATTACCATAAACTGGTTCTGTGTGTAGCTGCCACCAGAGGGTAGCAGTGCCAGGTGGCCCTGTGGCTAGCATTCATTCTTGGTACCCTGTGCAGTTTTGGAGGTCCATCAGTTCTCAAGGGATGCCAGTGTGGCCGAGGCCTGGTTGCTGGGACAGGAGCCATACCTATCCAGTCGTGAAATCGGCCAGAGCGTGGACGAGGTGGAGAAGCTCATCAAGCGCCACGAGGCATTTGAAAAGTCTGCAGCAACCTGGGATGAGAGGTTCTCCGCCCTGGAAAGGCTGACAACAGTGAGTGGCCACTAGATGCCCGAGTGCTTGGTGTATTTATGAGGGTCTTGTGAAGCTGATGGCTCTCTTCAAACAGGACCTGGGGAAGGAGGTCAAGATGCCACTCCCAGTTGTCTCCTAGGCATCTGGATTTAGGATCTCTTATGATAGCCTCTTGCCTAGGAACTGTTTGATGTTTGTGTTTCTCTTTCAATCTCTTTTTCCTCTTCTCTTGTTTCTCATAGACTCTCTGGTTTTTAGGGGATATGACCTTAAAATTTTCTTCAGCATTTCAGGATTAGAATTCCCATCAAATAGTAGCTTGTAAATCCTCCCCATTCTTGAGAATGTGTCTCAAACATAAAGATCTTGGAATAGGGCTTATGCACTGGTGTTTCTAATTCTGCAAGTCTGGAGATTTAATGTGTCCTTGTGTACTTCTGTGTCAAAATAATACTTTGAGTGCATATGCTCAGGTAGACAATTCTAGGGCTTTTTAATTTTAATTTATTTTGGGGGTTTGTGCTGGAACACATATTCCCACCACAGCACGCAAGTCTTCCTTGAGTATTTTAATACCTTTGTCTCTGGCTTATCTGAGCTTTCATGGGAACCAAGGCGCAGCTACGTTATTTCCTCAGCAAAGTTGAGAGCTGCATAGTTAATTTAGAAATTAAATCCATGCTCCCAGAGAGTTTCACCAGCTCCTAGTGCAACCCTTCATTTCCTGCAGGCTTTCGTTGTAGCTGTAGTTCCTATGAATTTATACTTACTTTTTGTTCAGGATGTTAGAGTTTCACATTGTGCAATGTGAGCCAATGTAGGAACTAGGCAGAAGGGCTTCCTGGGCTCCTCAAACAAGAGGGAAGTTTGAGACTGTGTTCAACATCACTGTGTTTCCCCTCAGTTGGAGTTACTGGAAGTGCGCAGACAGCAAGAGGAAGAGGAAAGGAAGAGGCGGCCGCCTTCTCCTGAGCTGAGCACAAAGGTTTCAGAGGAGACTGAGTCCCAGCAGCAGTGGTGAGTCAGGGTCAGCCTGGGAGCCTGGAATCTTAGCTTCGATGGCAGGTGAAGTTCATGGAGCATCATTGCTAGCCCCGCCTTGCTAGGCCTAGCAACATGTCCTTCATATTGTTTCATCATGTGATTTAGATCTGTATCATAAGACTCAAGTAACATCTGAGGTTATGACTTGTCCAAAGTCATATAGCTCTTAGGTGGCAAAAGTGGAGTGGAGACAGTCCTTTCTACTGTGTGAGCACCCATATCTGCATGCACATACACTTACAATTTTCCATATAATTTAGTGCATAACATGAATTACCCAGATTTCGGGCCTTGATTTTTGTAGTGATAGTCTGTGAAAGTCCTAGGTGACTTCACAAAGAGGTTAGATGTTATTCTGTGTGTAGAAGGCTAATTCCTTTGATGTGGTAGGAGTTCCAGGAAGCCTCTATTGTAGTCTTTGGTGGGGAGGTGGGCAGGGGCAGGAGGTAGAAACTGGTAGCCAGCTGCTCCTGTAGTCTCCCTCTCCATATGGTGTCTGTGAAAATTCAAGTTTTCAAAAAATCAAATGATGTAAAAGAGGGTTGCTTATGTTTTTCTCTTTCTCCTCTTCTTCCCTTCCTCCCCCTTCCCTTTCATCTTTTTCCCCTCTTCTGCCCTTCCCCCTTACCTAACAGGGATACTTCAAAAGGAGAGCAAGTTTCCCAGAATGGTTTGCCGACTGAACAGGGATCTCCACGGGTTAGTTACCGCTCTCAAACCTACCAAAACTACAAAAACTTTAATAGCAGACGGACAGCCAGTGACCAGCCATGGTCTGGACTGTGAAGTTCACTACCATTTGTCAAGAACCATTCTTTCCAAATCCTGTTGGTTTTAACTTTTTGGCTTTCACTTCACCCAAAGTGTTATATAAGTTTTACTTAATTCGTATCATAGCCTTCCTTGGTTTCATATTTGTTTGCATTTAATTCATGTTTATTTGAGTCTCTTAACTGATGGATGCTCATTGCCTTAAAGCAAAGTACTTATCTTTTGTTTATTTATTGTGAGCTTTTTACTTTATTAAGATTTTACAGCGAAACCCTTACATGAGTAATTGAAATTAAATGAGATTACAGCATAATGAAGAAGAAAACTAGAATCTAACAGGTATGACACATCCAGTTATACTAACAGGGCACAGTACTGCAGTGTAGGTACTGTGTTACTTACAGATGCTATTAACCTGCAGTAGTTAGTTACTAGTAACTAGGAAGACTAATCTATAAGAAAGGAGACGTCTCACTACTAAGATTAAAACCTAGTCAGCCATATAACATTCCATTGAAGGATGCATTCATTCACTTAAGATGACAAAAAAGGGAAGTTGGATCTACTTGGGAAGCTGTTTGAATTTTAGGTGCAGAATCTCAAACATTTTAAGACCCTTGGGTCATTATTATTTTTTACAAACTGGTGACTCTTTTTTCTGCCAAGTCCTAAATTGAGCACTGCAAGCTTCCTCACAGCAGATGTTGCAGCTGGCTTCAGGAGCAAATCACCTGCTGACTACTGCTGTCACCTCTGCCCTGGTCATTGTCAGCCCCACCGGGACTTGGCATGGCTGGTGATAGCAGTTTTCAGCCTGTTTTGGGAACCTGCCTACCAGACTTCTAGGCCTTTCCATTTCAGTCAGTGACTCTGGGGTGTCAAAATATTTTGTGATTTTTCACACACGTGGAACAAAAGCCATTTTGGTTCATCCTGATTACTTGAACGATGCACTCGATGGACCGTGCCTAGGAGCACTTGCATGCCTCCTGGCTTTAGAGGCCTCCTGAGGGTCTCTATAGACAGAAACCATGTTTGTTTCAGATGGATCTTTTGATTCATTCATTTTATGTAAACTTTATGTGGAGTTCTGCAAAAGGAGTCTTGTAGGGTGGTGTATCAGGCCACTAGCAAGGACTGAAATATTTAACAAAAATCCTTTTCCTTAGAAATTAGTGCTGATGAAAGAGATGAATTCCTGGTACTGACCAAAACACAGAACAAGATCCATGGTACATGCAAGCCTTATGAGACATTTCTTGCTCATTTGCCATATTTAGATGTGTCAGTGGCCTCAGAAACCTGTTTTGATATGTGTTCTCCATGAGTTAAGTCTAATTTGTCTTTTCATTTCATGATGCATGTCTTTTTTTTTTCTTTTGTCAGGATAACATCATGTAGCATCTTGTTTGTTTTTCCTGATTTCTATGTACATATCTATCTACTTGTGATGGTAGATGGGTATATAGATAGATGCCAAGCTTCTTATGTTCTGGGGGTGGTGTGCACCATTATTGCGTCTCTGCCTTAAAACACACCCAAATTCATTTTAGAGAAAGCTACTGCTTTGTCTTCAGTCATTAGGGAGCCCTGGTGTGTTTCTGGCCCCAAATTATATTATGTGTGTCACTGACCTATATGTATATATGTGATGTTTCCATATATATATATATGTGTGTGTGTGTGTGTTTAAATTTTGTATCATCAGAATGGATACGTAATTTTAATGCTTTTTGTATTCAGAAGACCAAAAAAAAGAAAGAAAGAAACACCACATAAGCACATGAGAAAGGAATGCTGTGCTTTTAGCATTTGCTTTCATGCCTATTTTTAATCTAGATATTTAAACTGTAGCTTGCCAGAACCAATTTTTAACCAACAATTGAGTTGTATTGGAAGAAGAAAAAGCCATTTTGTTCTTTTGAGTAATGATGCAGAGACTCAAGTTAATGAACTTGAAGATAGTGTTGCTTCTTGCACTTTGAAAGCAATCAGGTGTTTCCTGTGCTTCTAGTTGTGTTGCCTTTATGTTCACCTCCTGATTGAAGTATCAGATGTGCCAGCCACTAAAGCACTCTGGACTAATTGCTAAAGAGAAGCAACGAGGGGAGGGGGGATGTATTCACATGTACCCACTGTTTGATCATAGCTCTATGATTTGCTTTTGATGTTTGTCTCTAGTGGTGTGTTGTCTGTTGGCATGCTTAAAGCACATGTCCATTAAAATTCATTTTGTTCCTTTTATTTTCCTTGTTTTCTTGGTTAGTGATTCATTTGCATAAACATTAATTATCTCTGCATACTGGTTTGGGGTTTTCTCTTTCCTTCTAACTCTAAAGAAAAAATTTTTGCTGCAGAATTTCCCTCAGAAGAGACTTCCCTGACCTTTCACCTACCTTGAAGTCTGACTAAGTATAATAAATTTTAGCCTTTATCTCATAAACATCTCTCTATCCAGGTCATGACTTGTCACTAGCAGTTTTCAAGTTAAACCTGCAGCACTAAATTTTTTTTTAACCTCGTTTCTGTACATACTAACTCCATGTCTCTCTGGACTCACACCTGGCTCAGGCCTTCCACACCAAACTCACACTTCCTCCTTACCAGAAGTTTCCCAAAGTCTCACACTAGAAGAGATTTGTCAACTTTAAAATCCACTCATATTCTTTTGACTCAGGGTTTTATTTTTTTATTATTTTTTGTTGTTGTTATTATTTCCCCTTCTGGAACTCTCCCTTAAAAGTGAAAAGAGGGACTGGGTTCAGAGGCACAAGCCTGTAATCCCTGCTACTTGGGAGGCCAAGGCAGGAAGATCATGAGTTCAAGAGCATCCTGGGCAGCACAGTGAAACCCCATCTCAAAAAAAAGTGAAAAGAGCTTAAATAGCATATTGCTCATGAGCAGGATCTACAGGCCATCACTTGGGAGGCCAAAATAATCACGCACATACACCCCAGTATCTTTCTACCCTAATCACTTATTTCCCATTGCTTGAGAGTAGAGGATTTCAGTCAAAAACAGTCTTAAATTGCATCCAGTCATGCTAAACCCTGATGTTAATTGTAATCGTTTGCAAAGGCATAACATAAATTTGATTCTCTATCCTTTCCCAAGTTTTTACTAGCCCTTTTCCTAAAAAAAAAAAAAAAAAATCAATTTTGTTGACTCAAGCACAGTCCAGACATTTAGCTAAGACCTAAATGAGATGTCCAGTTCCTGAGAGTTGACAGATCTGAAGTTCAGTGGTGGTGGCCAGTTTGCCGCTTTATCCTGTCAAGGTTATTGCTGCTAATTTGGTGTCATTTGGATTCTCGGCAGCAGTGGTGGGGGACGTAGCTAATGAGCGTGCCATTGACACCTCCATGTTGTCCGTGTATAAGGGGTGCCGGTTGTCTGTAATCCACTAAAGCGCCAGCCACACCCAGCTTTTGTAACTTGCTAATCCCACACCCTGGGTGTACATCAGCCAGGGGCTGCTGCAGTTAATGGTACACAGTTGATGGTACACAGGCTGAAAGCGATAATGAATCAAGACCCTACTACATTTCCAAAGCCGAAAAGCCATGAGGGTTACAATTTAAATGAGCTTGGGAAGGAACGCTCCCGAAGACGTCTGCAGCCTGAAGGGTCAGAGCCACTGGAAGCCTGGCTGCCTCTGGGCTTTCTCGTCTCAATGCGGCAAGGCACCGCGATCAACCAACCCGTGATGGGGAAGGCCCTGGTTCTGTCTTTGTTTGGGGGTAAATAGCTGTGTGGTGTTGAGTGACTGTGATTGGCTTTTCCAGCTCCTTTAACACAAACTACAACCCACTCACGATCCAACTTCGGCAGATGCGGTTAAATTGATGTTTGTTGACTTGCCTCATTTCCTTCCAGCTCTTAAGTTCCAAAGTCTAACTGGGATGGTAGATGTGAAGTGCATGATTGTCGTCCTAATTTCTGCATGTATTTATGACAATGTGTTCAGGGGAGGGGGGTGGAGAACCAGAGAGCACTTTGAGAAACCCCAGGTCTTTCCTTGTCTTACTTTGGGGGAATGCCGTGTAGTTCTGATGGGGCCGTCTATCCATCTGTTTGTGAATGCCCTTTCGCTTAAACTTCCAGCCCTCTGGTGGCACCCTTGGTTGTAAGGTGGCTGCTGTATAACGTCCACTCTCATATTTAATATGTGTGACTGTCACCGTTGTCCTGTTTTAAAGTAATCATAAGAGGAGATGGTCTGAGCTATATTAGAGAAAATGGATTGATCCGAGGAGTAAGAGTGCAGTAAAACGCATACTGGCATTTCGCTTTTCTCATTTACCCATAAGCGGGCGGGCATTAATCCATTCCCACCTTCTAATGTCCTTGGTGTCCAGCTGGCTTTGTGGGGTGTGCAATGGTTTTACTGTACTGCCTCGATCTGTGCCAGGCATTTATACACAGCCACGTGTGCGAGTCAGAGCGTATGTGGTCACCCCCGTGGCTCACAGGGTAGCTGAATGGCCTCTCCACTGTCCCTAGATGGCAGAAACAGTGGACACAAGTGAAATGGTCAATGGCGCTGCAGAGCAGAGGACGAGCTCAAAAGAGTCCAGCCCCATCCCCTCTCCCACCTCTGATCGCAAAGCCAAGACTGGCCTCCCAGCCCAGAGTGCCGCCACCCTGCCAGCCAGAACCCAGGAGACGCCCTCGGCCCAGATGGAAGGCTTCCTGAACCGGAAGCACGAGTGGGAGGCCCACAATAAGAAAGCCTCGAGCAGGTACCCATCCCAGGCAGAAGCAGGGTGGCGGGAAGTCCGGCCCACCCGGGGTCAGGGAGCATGTGCCCCTGCGGGCTTACTCACTCGTTTCCTGGGCTTTGCATTCTTCTTGGTGCTAGCACTGGAAAGTGAGGACGGGTGCTTATTCACAGAGCATGAAGAGTTAAATGCAGATGGGAATAGCTAGAGGGGGCTGCAGTAGTTCATCCTGAGAGGCAGTTTGCTCATTTAAGGTTGGGTGTCCTCTCTTCCTTAAGTGAAGCAATTCATTATAGGGCTTCTTGAGCGATTTCATTATTTCCCCTGGCCACATCTGCTTATCAATCTTAATATGCCTTATCTCCCCACAACCCTAATTTTACTATTTAACAGATTAGGAAAAAAAGAGACAGAAGCTACAAAACTTACTTTCTGTAGAAAATCCAGTAAGTAGTAAAACTGGGGTGAAAGTCATTTGACTCCAAAGCCTTGTGTGCTAAACTAGTAAACTGGACTGCCTAGGGCAACCGTGTACAGTTGTGCGAATTGTACACAAACAAGGCAATTATGCCATCTCGAGTTCTGCCATTCACATTGAAGGCAACTTTTATATGTTAACACAAGCAGATGTTCTAATAACATTAACATATTAGAATACCACAGGAGAGAGGCCACCTTAGGTACCATGAGTGCTAGTGGCCCTGAATCTGTATCCTTTTCAAGTGGCTGAACCATATAAAGAATGAAGCTAAGGCTGGAGGAGCTTCTGCTTGAAAATAGCTATGCCTCAAATACGGAGCCAAACCTGTAGCCTTATACCATAATGGGGAGTACCAGACACCAATCAGAATCCTTCCCATCAGAGCCAAGAATACCTTCACTTAATAGAAGAGGACACTATGTTTTCCCACAAATTCAGAGAGACATGAGTCCTTAAAAGCTTACCGCTGGGGATGTGGCTCAAGCGGTAACGTGCTCGCCTGGCAAGCGCGGGGTGCTGAGTTCAGTCCTCAGCACCACATAAAAATAATGTAAAGATGTTGTGTCCACTGAAAACTAAAGAATAAATATTTTAAAAAATTCTCTCTCTCTAAAAAAAAAAAAAAACTTACCACTGTATCAGCATGTACTCTGCCTAAGGATTCTGTGGAGGAGTTGTGTTCCATTGTTCAGTGTTAGCAGATTTTAGGAAGGGCTTTTATAAAGGGTTATGTGAAGATAGTTTCATGTAGTCAAATTCTTAATTCTGCAGGAGCATGACATGGAACCTTGACTTCCCTTTCTTTACCATGCTCAGGTCCTGGCACAATGTTTATTGTGTCATAAATAACCAAGAAATGGGTTTCTATAAAGATGCAAAAACCGCTGCTTCTGGAATCCCATACCACAGTGAGGTCCCTGTGAGCTTGAAAGAAGCCATCTGTGAAGTGGCCCTTGATTACAAAAAGAAGAAACACGTGTTCAAACTCAGGTGAGCCTTGCCCCCATGCCTCACGGTTGCCTCAGAGTAAGGTGTGTGTTTTATTTCCCTTGGGTTGGTTTTCTTACCTCATGCCATGATCAGTTTTATCTTGTGCCATTTTAAGTCTCAAAAAAAAAAAAAAAAAGTAAAAAACAGTGTGATGCCATTTCTGTTAAGATCTCTGGGTGCTTTGGGGATTGTGGCCAGCTGCCAGCTTCCCTGTGCTTCACTGTGTAGCCAAGCGTGGAAGGAAAGGGAGTTTCTGTTTTATGGTCTGGAGCGTACTGTGCTGTAGCACTCAAGGTGGGTTGCTCACATCTCACAGTTTAAAGGAAACTTAGAAAGACAGTTTCTTCACTTTTTCATCTTATCCAGACCCAGGATACGCTGTTACTTGCTTTTGAGTTATCTGGAGACTATAAAGTGAGTCAGCCTGGAGCTGGATGAAGACAAACGGGAAATGCCTGGGTGGGGACTGGGCCTGTCCTCCCATGACCCTCCCCTGGAGCCATCTGGTTCCAAAAATCTCTTCCCGGTAGGACATGCACCTCCCCACAATGGATCCACCCTCAAAAGTTCTCATTGGAAATGGGCAAACTATTTTAATAATCTTTTTTAAAATGTAAAAAGTATATGTTTTAGTGGTTAGTTGCTAGTTTTGTGCTGATGTGCTCTATTGATCTGGATCCTGGACAGCTGTGCTCTTAGATGTGTGTTTTGAGCTAGTTGGAGGCAGCCAAGGACTGCAGAGGGCAGTTGCAGATGTGCGGTTGGTCATGTTGTGCTGGTGAGCAGTGTGAGCTCTTTGGGCCTTGGGACACAAGATGTTTTGTCTGGCAAAGCACAGATTGCTTGACCCCTTTGCTACTTTCCCCCATTGTACTTCCTTGATGCTACTTCCGGGAATCAGGCTATTGGCAAAGGGCAGTTTCCACCACTATTCCAACAGCCCCTTCTTCCTCCTGGTGTCCACAGAACAAATGATGGACCTCCCCCGCCCCAAATATAGGAATCGATTTGGGACACACTGATAAGCCCACAGGTGGGGTGTTCTTTCATTCTGAGGCACACATAAGAAAAGTCTAGGAATCTTTTTCTGTGTCTTTTTAGAGACTTTAGAATTTATAAATTTTAGAGAGAGTTCATTTTAGGCCAATGATCAGCAATAAGGTGTTCTTTGCCATTACAAAGCCAAGTGATGTTGTGTTTGGGTCCCACACATCCTCCTGTGAACTGAAGGTCCAAACTGCCTGTGTATATTGGATTGGCCCAGTTAATTGTGAATTCTGATGTTCCCAGGGCCGTTGCAGGGCTCCATGGGTCTCTAGGAACAGTTGGTGCTGCTCGCAGAGCTTCTGAGGCCTCCTTGTATCCCACATAAGACAGAGAGTTGGGTATTTTTATTTTTCTGAAGTTAAATTGTGACTTACTCTCTTCCTTGAAATTACAGACTAAATGACGGCAATGAGTACCTCTTCCAAGCCAAAGACGATGTAAGTTGCTAAGCTTCATCTCTCTCACATACTTAGGAGTATGCAAGTGTGGTGGGATAATAGCGTTATTTGTAATATTATACATGTAATCACGACCAGTGGTGATGCCTTGTCACCTGGTTGCCAGCCACTAACACTGGCAGTCGTCTAGTTCTCTGTCTCTTGAAAGTAATGAATGTCGTCCCACTGTCTGTCCCCATGAGAGAGAAGCTAATGCAGGATCCACTGGTGTCAGGGAAGAAAACCTTGCCCACTCACTCCTGGAGGGTAAGGCTCAGGGAGGAGGGACCTCCCTGCTGCTCCCCATGACCTTTAACCAGCTCTTCATGGTATTCTCCACCTTGAGGAAAGAGAGGAGTCAGTTGATGAAAAAGAAACATGTAATATTTAAATTTGAAAAACCTCCTTTTACCAAGAGAGAGAGAGGCCTTTTAAAAGAAAGTGAAAGTACTTTGTAGGGTGGGACCTGAGGCCCACAGATGGAGATCAGTCTTCTA